AAAAAAAAAAAATTAAAAATAAAATAATTGTCAGAAATAAAATTAGTAACACATGAGAAAAATAATGTTGTCTTTCTGGAGAAAGGTGATACAGGTGTTTGAAAAACTATATTTGACAAATTGAATGAGTAGCACAACACCATAGGCTTCTCACATTTAACTTCTGAGAAGCTCAGAGCACTGGTTACCATATGAAGAGACTGAATGTCCTATGAACTTAACATGACAGGCTTGAAAGTTCTATGAATCAGACAGGCCAGCTGTTTTTAAATTGGTTATTTTGGGATTTACTTCATGATATTCCCTTTCTTGAATGGAATAAAGCCCATCTGAAAATGGCTGATGAAAGGTCAGGTCAGGTTAAAGACATTAGGGTATTTCCATGCTTCAAAAATAGTATGTACTGTAACCATAGTGTTTACACAGTATACACAGTTTAGAAATTAGAATTCCCCTTCTTCATTGCCATAAATTTATACTGTCTCACTTCTAAACCACATCTAAATCTATCCCGTTGCTGTGTAGCGAACAAGCCAAATAAAGCTACTTAATTCTGAGGATAACTGATTTTTATTGTTAATTAAAGTAAATAGTCTGTTCTTTCAAATTGATCTAGTTTTAGGGTGATTCATTCAATAGATAAAACACTTTGAGTGGACTACATCAGGACGTTGTATTATTTCATGGCGTTGCTTTGAATGACTACATCAGGACCTTGTATTATTTCATGGAGTTGCCCCTTTTCATTACCATACTTACCACAAGCTGAATCTGAAAACTATGGAATTTGTAAACTTTGGATCTACATTTGGAATTTCACATTTAGGAAAGTCTAACTGCACTAGAAAATGTACGCATCTCATTTAAATGAGTGGATAAAGTCAGGAACAAAGGAAGCATCTTAAACTCTATCATGAACCAAAAAAAGCCTCAATCTACTGACTGATTCTCTTCCAACAGGCACAGATGTGAATCAAGAATAACCAGAATAATTATGTAGGATATAAATGAGATGAGAAGAAGCTAGTTTCTCTATCAAGTACAGTTTGCTAATAGCTGACATCATTATAATAGGATTGGAGACTATCCTTTGAGGACAACACTTGCTAGACAATGAGTCTGGTAAGCTATCCTTAACAATACACAGAGGAAAAAGCTCAGTGAAAGCATCAATCCATCCTTGACTGTCACAGCTACAACTATAGAAGTTGATCTCTTCAGCCTTTGATTCCCGCTCAACTTTCCCTCCCAAGCAACCAGGTTTGTTATTGGACCAGTCACTCCTTGCCTCCACCACCAAGCTGCAACTCCCTCTTCTTCACTGAGCAAGTTGAAAAGAAAGTCCCAGAAGCTTTCCTCCCTTTCTGTCTTATGGAAACAGCTAACTTGCTTGTGCTTTCCCCAAACAAAGCATTATCTATTATTCCACCCAAAGATACAAGGTATACAGAGTACTAGATAAAAACAATAAAAGCTAATGTATGTTTCCCCATACCTAAAAGTTAATGGTTTTTTTGCAAGCTTTAGTATGTTTCTGCTAGCTCAGGGACCACCATTGCTGTGCTGCAAGAAGTCAACTTCTTTGCTTCAGGCAGTTCTTTAGGTATTTCCCTCTTTCTTCACTTGTAGCACTTGGGTACTTCAGCATTTGGAGATGATTCCCAGGAAGCTCTCAGGAGCTCATATAACTCCACCATGCTGTTTTAAGCCCAAGGCCCTCAACAATTTATCACCTCCTTTTACTCTTGGTCTCCAGAACAGGAAGAGGAAACCAGGCAGCCGAGCCCTGCAATACACAACACTCTCTCCATTTTTTAATTGTAGACTGTGGTATTCTCTCCAGCTGTACCTAACCTTTGCCCCTGTTCTGTTTTCTGTTTGTTTTCCACTTTCCTCTTCTGGTGCAGAATCCTCTGATCTAATTCTTCATGTTGGGAGAGATGAAAGGAAGTGAGAAATGTTAGTATGTGATTTTTCACATAGAAGAGCACACAAATCCTAGATTCTCTACAACAGCTAATTCCTTCAGTTAATAAGAAGGCAATTTGAAAGTAACCCTGCAAATTGTTTTGAAAACTTACCAGCTCCAGTACTAAATGCATGTGGCTACACCCACCAAAGGACCAGAAATAAAAATTTTAAAGCAATAATTTAAAGATGAAATCCATGCACACACCCCCAAAAGCAAAACAAATCACTACCCTGAGCTAAAGTAATAGAACAGGCAGATAAACTATTTTCTGCAGTTTTTCCTAAGTGTGCAATGTGTGTTTCTAAACAGTTGCCCTGAACAGCATCATGGCAAGCATACATAACACTTAAGAAGTCCAGAAATAATATGCCACACTTTGCAAAAGACAACAGGAGGCATTCTGGCATCCTTACCAGGATGAGAAGTAAATAATGGATGAGAGCTGCTGACCCAAGAGTAACTACACCACAAGACATGCTAGACTCATCCCCTCCATTCCTCAAATGAATTCCCATTGTTACATTCCATTAATGTCCTCACTGAGTGCTCTTAATCATCTTCAAATAAAATCCTCATCCGAAAGTGGAATACACAGATGATCCCTACATGCCTTACACACACTGTAAGAATCAATAAGGTAAAAGCCCAAGATCTTTCAGTCCAAAAGTCTATTGCCATCATTAGCAGGCCAAACTAAAGTTGTATGAGTTAGCAGTCTTAAAGCATTACAAGTGAAAACAGAACTTAGCCAGCCGGTGGGAATGAGTCCATATTCCTTCCCTTCATGGGAAATGCCTTTCCTGTGCACTCTGACAAGACTAGTTTCCTGAGCTTCAGGTTTTCACCACATAGATTAGAATAAATTATCAGCTACCTCTTTTGGCTCTTTTGGAGTTCATTTATATCCCTCTCATAAGGTGCTACATACAATGAACAGAAATTCCTTGCAGCAACATGCTGTAAACCCTACAGTCAAGGTCATGGCATTCTGAGTTGGAAAAAAATGGTCAATCTTTATCACATTCTTTCAAGGGCTTAACATGAGTTTGTGTAGATGATGTACATGAAGTTCAGGGTATTTCAACATATTCTTATATGAATGGCAATAAAGAAACACCTAAGGTCAACACGCTGTTTAGCGATGCAGTGTAAGGATGGTGAGGAGCTAAAAGCAGGTAATTAAGTAGTTTTTAATAAGGTAGCAAATCAATGACTGAGATGTACAGAAACTAGTGAAATGCACCAGTATTCCTCAAGGCCTTGTTATTATCGCATATTTTTCAGCTTTGTCTGAATTATAAAGTTAAAAAAATATTAAAAACACATATAAAAATGCATAATTTTACTCTCCAATAATAGCTTCTGTCTCAGTAGTCTCACCTGTATTTTCTGATACTTCTCAACCTGGCATAAACATACACCTGAAACATGCTGGTGTCTTAATTTTAGTGATTTTTCATGCATATAACCTATGTGTCATTTAAAGAACATGTACATGGTATACATCTGCGTGGGTAAAAACAGGGCAAATAGCAAAGTCCTATCTCCCCTTAGTAATATCCTTGTTCCTGACCCTATTATTCAAAAAACTCTGATTGCCCTCTCTTTCGGTGTAGGACAAGAGTAATCTGTGATTTTTTCCCAACTCCTGGCATGTAAGCTATGTATGGTGTGCATCACATGCATGAAGATACAGTAGCTTTGTAACTAGTATCTTCATTTTGCATTGCAATTGCAGTGGCAATTTTGCTTAAGCCTGGTACAGCTTCTCCACGACAAATACCATGAAGACTTCTAAGTAATTATTTGTATTGATTCCACTTCTTTGCCCTCTCTATTGGTCTTACGGCTTATGGCTCCCATAGGTATTGGCACAATGCTTGTCTTGCAAGCACTAATAAAAATGTAAGGAACAAAAAATCTGGGCCTGTGGAAACAAATCTTTACATATTACAATTCATGTAAAAGTTTTTAGAGGGATTGCTCTATTCTCAGGAAATATGTTAACAGGAAAAGGACTTCTCCATCCTAGCTCTGCAAGTACTGCAGAAATAGCAGCAGGAGTTCTGTAATCATGTGGCACATATAAGATATGAAAGGATAATGAATCCAAGCTTTCCTGTATGGTCTTCACCAGTTCATGAAGTAGGCAGTTCCAAAGGATTAGTTTGAAAACACGAAGCTATAAGGTAACAGAAACAAATGCCAAGTGGATGCAGTTTTATGACTAAAGTAGAATCTAGATATATTCATAAGTAAATGAGTCAAGCATTTGTTTCTTTCACAAGTCCTTAAACAGAATAAGTAGATTAAAAAAAAAAAAGGAAATAAAACCAAATTAAAAGCTGTGCTTATTTCCATTTCCAAGGATTCAATATCCACTTTCATTGCTACTACAAGCATGCTCCGCTGTTGAGATTCATGGAAGCCACTCGGGGGTACTAGGGATAACTCCCACAGAATCTCTCTTCACACTTTCTTCACTGAGAGGAGACACATCAGGGTGCCATCAAAACACTTACGACTCTTACTTCGGTGCATGGAGAAATAAAGAGAACCAGCCCCAATCTCACAGATAGGCCACATTCTGTTCCACTCAAACAAACTCTAAGAGACCAGGAATAACTGAATGGGTCATTAGATTTTACTGCATTTAAAGACACTATCTTCATTAGTGGGAGGAGGGGTTTGAAGTGCCCACTCCCCAGCAAACACCTAGGGTATTAATATTCTATGCCAGAGGCATTTATGCTTCCACAAGAGGAAGATAAGGCACATACACAGGAACTCTATAGCTTGTATACCGCCCTACAAAGAATATGGTCACGTTCTGCCAGGGGCTCAAGAGCTGATGTTCATAATCCATTAAGATCTGGAGTTTCGGTTCAAGCCCCATGTCTTACTGCTCCCCAGCTGAAAAGATGAGAAAACAGCTCTTTCTGTGTCTCAAAACATATTTCTCTATTTGGAACATAGCCTCTATTTAGGTCACTTGAGAGGACAATCATCATTGCTGTTTTCTGATTTATGTGAAGCTCTGTATTATACCAACTGTGAAATAAATTCTGGGTAATCAATAAGTAATTAAAACAGAACTAACCGTTGGGACATAACTGAGAGTACAAACTGCAGCTACAATCTAATTATTACAATTTGATCCAAAATAAGTATCCCTCCAGGCAGCAAAGTTTATTGGTGGAGATGCAGGCTTGTGGGGCATGGCTGCCAACAAATGTGTTGGACACATGCTGAGCATCCTCATCCTTCCCAAAAGCTCAACACTGCTTAATCTGCCCTCTGGATAGAGGGACAAAACTGGCTTTGCTAATTCCCTCAACAACCCTCATGTTGAGGGGCACAGGGGCTCTCACTGGGAAGGGCTTTATATTACCTCAAATGTAACTCAGTGAGCAACAGTAAAATGACAAGTTCCATCTATTCACATCCAAACTGCAGAATCAAACATTCAGGCCTCCTTTCACAAAGCTACATGACTCAACATGAAGATGCACTATATTCTTAAACACAAAATTTGTTTGAAAATTTAGATCTGCTGTAACTGGATGCTCAGGCCTTAACAGGTTCATGAAGCCAGAACCAGATGCATGCCCAGGGCAGATGTCAAAATTCACATGACCTGTTTGAACAGGCAGATCATTGTAAAGGAAAAGGAGCACCTCAGATGATCTCAAGACTGCAGTTGACTAGTTTTGGGGTAGAATCTGGTATGAGAGAGTTTGGGGTTTTCCCCTTTGCTGAAGGCAGGATAGAGTGCCTAAATGTTCTTTCCATCCCCTAATTAACAGTCTACCACATGCATTTGATGTATCATGAACCTGCTAGAAGCCATTAATCGTTATTGTTAACTATACATCCAATTTTGTTTTCAGAGCAATTTTTCACTATATTTAACTTGCCTGTCCCTAAGAAAATTATAATGTTTTAGACAATTGCACAAAAGTTACAGCATTAACTTGAATAAACACCTGGTAGAGGACTGTGCCCACTGTGGAACTGAATACTAAGTGCAAATAAATTATGTTACTCATCCACCCCTCTGCAGAATATTGTACATTTTGAGACTTTAAATATATCTGCCACAATCAAGGAAAGATTAATACTTTCTTGTATGGAAAGCATTATTTTAATTTACTTGAAAAGGGTCCCTATGCACGTTTAAAAGGGAACTTTTAGCTCAGTATTGAAACAGAGGACAATTGTTTCTTCCAGCTTGGTCTTTGAATGGGTTATTACAGGATATGGATGCTAATTAGCCTTGGGCACATTTACGAACCTCTTTCCTAGATTCAGGTTACAGGCATGATGTTTCTGAAGCATGCATTGTTGCCTTGGTGAATCATACAAATGATAGAAAAAAATCCCTTTTGATTCTGATGTAACAAAAATACAAATTAAAAAAAACCTCCTTTAATGAAAGACTTATTGTCTAAAGACTAGAGAACACCAATAAAACAGATCACAATACTGCCATCACCTATATCAGAAGAGACTACTTTTGAGGCACTCTGGCCTTCTCCCTTGTGTGGACAGTTTGTTGTCTCAGACATTTTCTGCCTCTCTGCTGTGGAACAGCAGACTTGAGTGAGATCTTAACCAGTGGAACTGAACCGTTCCTGCTTCATTATCATTTATTGCTAATTCAAGAATAGTATATTCTGAGTAATAGTATACTTTATCTCCTGGATATTTCAACCCTTGCAGATGAGCAAAACGGGAAGTGAAAACAAAAAGCAGATAGTAACATCATCATCATCACTTCTTTTTCCTCACTCCTTTTCTGATCAAGTTTTCCATTTGCTTCTAGTTGCCTGTACTCTTGAGTTATGTTAACTACCTTCATCATAGCTCACATTCAGCCAAATACTCATGTCTGTGAGAGATACAGGCTGCTGTTTCCTATCTCCTGTGATGGCTAAAAGCAGAACCCTATCATTCTTTTTTGACTGGCGCTTCCACTCACTTCAGCTTCCATTTAGAGACATCCTATGTGGTATAACCAGTTTCACGAGCATTGCAAATCTCACCTTAAATTAGAGTCTTTACCACCTGGCCTCCTGAGTGCCCTGTCTCTCAATTACTCAGCAGCAACACTTCTACCTTGTTCTATATCATTATGTCTCAGCTTAATTTCATAAATGACTTTGGCACACAACCTGTGGACCTGATCATGCAATTCAGTTCCTCTGAGCTCTGTAGAGATCCTAGAGAGAATCACAGAAGTGTATCAGTGCTGTGGGATATGAACTGCAATACTGGAACATATGCATACAGAAATTATTAAGGTGGAGTGTCCTTAGAGATGCAGTCAGGAGGCTTTAAGGGCTGAAATTAGTAGTCATATGATAAAGAGAGAGAAAAAGAGAAAAACAGGGGGAGGGAGAGAACAAAAGAGAAGGAGGTAGAAAGGGAGGAAAGGAGGGGAAGTATTTATTTAGTTATATAATATAAGCAACTGTTAGCAATAAATATTGCATCTTAATTAGTATGATTTTTAATATTGTAACTTACCATCAATAGCCAATTTGAGATCAGTCAGTGTAGTTCGAACTCTTGAAATAACACGTTGCATGCGATCAATTTCTTGACGGAGAAATATGTTCATGGGTTGAATAGCTCCCATCTTTCGAAGTTGGGCTTTCACCTAAACAAGAATAGTGCAACAATTATAAAATGTAATCTCCTGTTTCCCATGCAATAATTTTTGAAAGCAAAAGGATGTTTTTTCAATTGTACCACATAATTCCTGAGAAAAGAAAGTTTTATGTAACAGACGGCTGTGCAAGTCCTGTGGCAACTGTAAGATTTAGCACACTGTGACTCATTAGCTTACCAAAAGGAGCTGCTCCATCATTCTAAGAAGGGGAAGTTCCTTGTTTTTGAACGGACACAAAAGTTCCTTCTGTCCTTGTTAGGCTGCAGGGTCTTAGATCTCAAAAAAACCAAAACCACATGCTATAAAAAAGCATGTTTGATGATAACTTCATATTTCCAAATTGTGCTAGGTGAACTTTCTCACCTCTTTTTGCCCTGCTGAGTTGAAATAAGGCTACAAATGGAGTTTCACTTAACAAGCACAACGATATATAAAAGCTACTGCTTTCAGTAGCACGTGACACTCATAAGACAAGGTGCTCATGGATGCATTACCAGAAAGGCAAGATTGACAGGATTTAACACAGATGCCACAGAATTCCATTACACCATTATGTGCACCATTTTGTAGGTAGAAGCTTTTGGCTTTCTTAATTTTTAAGGATAACAGTTTCACTCATACTCAGCAGAGAACATTTTCAAAATGGAATTAGTTGTCTGTGTTACTTAAGGACGTGCCACAGCAAGAGTAGTTAAAGCATTCCCTGTCTCACTTTAGCATATGATGCACATAAAATATGCTTCAGACATACACGGTGTGTTCCATGTATATCAAAGATCACAGTATACCACAGTGCATGAGAGAGGATTTAGTGGCACCTGTAGAAATCATGATGCCTATACCTCATATAGTACCAGAATTCTTGATTTTTAAGACTTTCAGGTGTTTTTCCCCACTATGGCTTGGCCTTCAGAAAGCCAATGGCCTTCTCGCTATACCTGCTACCACTCAGCCACATCCATCATCTTTCACACTGAAGCTGCCTGAACCCTGATCTTTGCCATAGTCACTCCTTCCCTCTGCAGGTGAAATTCTGCAAGGGGACTCTGGAACCAAAACCAGATCTGAAACAGTAAAATAAGATCCTAAATGCAGATACCTCTATGGCCATTAATTTATCATAAAAGAGCTGACCCATAGGATCAGTTTGCTAAAATAATTTAAGAGTTTATTTTGAGCTTACTAACAAAAGACGAAGAAAGAGTTAGAAAGTCTATTCTTTCAAAGTGCAGAATATCATTGGAATTCCACTGTAGTCAAGTAGAAGCCACAAGATTTAGTATAATGCATGCTATTTCATCAAGGCTAGAAGTTCACTGGATTTTGCTTTGTGTTTTTCCAGATGTACTCATATATCTCATTGTATACATTATTATCTATACTACACATTATATACATATAGTAAACATTACTAAAGATCTTACTATTACACTGAACAGCAAGTTGCTCCAAAATTAATATAATACAGCAGTTGAATAGTTATAATTCCTAGTATAAATGGGTAAATGCTTTGACAACTTCCAATTCTAAAGTTTCAATTCCAAGCCCAATAAAATACTCTTTTTCAAATTTATATGCTATTCTCCTTGTGAGACAGCTATCAGCAAGGTTATTCATCATATTTTAACTACAAGGACCCATGAGTTTGTCAGACAGAATGACCAAGAAATAGGTGCCAGCCAATTATGCTAATGCTTCGCAGTGTGACAGTTCATTTTACAGACTGACTTAATGTGTTTCTTCCTGTAAAAGAGAAAAAACTACTAAAATCAGCTATCATGAGACTAGAGCTGAGACAATAAACTGTTTTTGTATAATTTACACAATGAAGTATTCTGATTTTTTTCATACAAAATCCAGGGAAAGCTTCTGCTTTCTGAAAATATCACAGGAATTGGTAATTCTCCCTCTTGCCAAAAAAGCAAAAAAAAGATTTGATTTTTTTTTCCCAGAATAGTTAGAAGTCTAGTGCATGCCACTAATAAGAAAGGAATTATACAGAATATAGCCTATGCATTTTAGCCTTTAAATAAGAAATACACTTTTTTCTAGTGTACAAAGCATGTGTTCCTTTCAAGGATCGTTTGGAGGAAGAATTTCTCCCATTTGAGGAAAAATTCTATGGAAGATGTTGCTAAAGGGATTATTTCCCAAAATACTGACATTTATGAATCTACAAAGAGAAAATTAAATAAATATTCTAAAATATAACTGTACTGATAATTGCACAATTTAACTAGTGAATTCTCAGAATTTAAACATTCTTCTGATTTGTTTTCATGTACCTACAAAAATACCTGTAATGTTTTGAATAATGGAGTGAACCAATAATGCAGAAATTTGTTAATCCATCTTAGACATGTTCACAGCACTCAGCCTGGAGAACCAAGCATAACCAGATATGAAAACTGAAAAAAAAATTACCTACTTTCCACCTTATTGTATACAAATCAATCCTGATCTGCAGTGAGATTTACTAGGTGTAACATAGTGCATTTCTTGGAAATCTTGCTGTTAAGATTAGTTTTAAATACCAGTTATGAGGTATGATTGACTGTTTTTGTAACAGAATTCTTATCAAGCAATCAGATTACTTGCTTCCAATATTGTATTTATTATGACATAAAGAGATGGATCCCAACTGACAGAAAAAAACCTCAAAGGACAAAACTCACTAACCAAAATAGCCTTTCTGAGATTAATATACTAATTCCATAAAGCCCACTTACAACTTCTCCTTTTCATTATGCAAACAGCTGTCATCTAACATAAAACAAGGTGATTTAAGAAAGGAGCAACTAAAATCATAAACTTAATAGCTTTCTCTACTTGGCATATCTCTACTGTGTCAGATTCCTCTATGCACGTTTCTTAGCTGTCCTCAGGTCACAAACTCCTTTGTCACCCCATACTTTATAGGACGTTCATCAGAAAAGCAGTTGCCAAACTCGTGTCATTTAATGATCAGTGATCAAGCTATTGTAGTAGTAACTGCCTGTTGTTTTCAGTAAATGCTATCATTTTCAATTAGATTTGCCTACTTTCTATACCGTTTGTCATCAGAAACAGGAAGTCCACCATTCTGTGAGATGGTCTAACCAAGAGGCCTGAATACAAAAGACAAGCTCAAGGCATGTCCAAGTCAAAGCCCTTTTCAAGTAGTGTCAAGGACCACTTCCCTGTTGTATATAAGGAAGCAGGCAGTGAAATATGTAGAAAATAGCTGAAACTCTACAGTTGGGTCACCACCATATCTGACAGGTAAGTAAACCAGAGGCAGCCTACAAAGTTAGTGTTTCAGTTCAGACCTCGAAGGTTTTTTTTGTAGCAAAAAACTGCACTGAAAAGTAGACTCCATGCATACAAACTGTCTTAGCTTCAAATTAAACTAACCCAGAAGGTATGCTTCAGGGAGTCTAACGTACTGCAGCCACTAACGGGTGTTCAGCCTACAGGCCCAGACTAGAGTTAGACCGAAGTGAATTCCCCAATAAAATCTAATGCAGGCCTGGGGTACTCAGATGAACTCCTATTCCCATGCAATACTTGCTAATGTAGCCATAGCCTTACCGGAGTGTAAGATGAAATCAATACTACCAAAAAAAATATTTAAGGAAAAAAAAATATTGCTCCTTGGGTTAAAAGCTATCCTCCAATAAAGTGCAGTATCTTTGGAATGTCTCCATGTCTATCCCCGAGCAAGCTGTTTTTCAGGCTGCAAGGATCATTTTCATTATAAAACTCTCTGTGTGACAGGCTGACATTTATTCTTGCATCTATCTTCACTCACATAGAGTGACTGGACCTAATCATTTTATCGCTGATCTCTCTGTTACCTGTGAGGCAGGACCCAGAAGCAAAAGGGGTTATGAAAGCAGAACTCTGCCTCTGCCTCTGCCTTTGGAGTGAGAAAAATGAAGACAGTTTTAGGTCAGGAGGAAGGTTTATTTTGCTTTTCCACCACCTGTGTCAAACTGCAGTCTGATAATGCATGCAAAGGTGACTTGTTTTGTTTATAGTCTTTCGGGTGGACATTGAGTCAGTTATTTCACTGGTGAGAGGAAGTGTTACAAGAACACAACAGCAAAAGAAAAAGCATATATCATGGGGGTAAAATGGTTGCCCTGTTTTGAAAGTTATTCATTCCAAAGTCATTGCCAAAGGCTAATAATTGAGAAATGAAGGCCTCCATGTGACAGCCTGAATTTTCTCTGGATTCAAAATGTATCAAGAGAAAGTACAATCCGGAGCTCTGAATCTCAGCAAATGGTTTCAGTACCATCCGTCCCTAACCTAGTCTGTTGAGGTTTTAACTCTGATCAAATTCACTACACACTTTCTAACAGCAGCCACAAGAACTGATCAAAGATAGCAAAGGCATCTGCAACTTTCTCTGAAGAGTATTTGCTTTTAATTACCTTAATTTGTTTCCTAAATTTTTTGTTCCTTTTCTCCACTGATAGTATCTCCGTAACTGGACTTCCAAAGACTACCACGTCGTGGCCTTACTGGAGCACAATGTTCTTCTAAAAGCAAATCCACGCTGCACTGCTAGGAGTAATGAATGTTTTTCTTTTTACTGCTCTTACCCAATGAGGCATGCATAGGAACTCTTTTTGACACATTCCCTCAGTCTTTTACAATTTAGTTTATTCATTTTATTTGTTTCAGGATTGTTAAACTGATCCAGTAGGTGATAATGTTCTGAATATAAGTGATAATGTCCTGAATGACCAAACGTTAACTTAAACTGACAAACAACAAAACTCATCTCATTCCCTTTTTTTCAGACATCATAGGAAGTAATTACAAAATCCATTTCATTCCTTATACTTGTAAGCTTAATTTCACTTGCTTATTATGTTGTAGCTTCTGCTAAATTCTCTTGCTTCTTCCCTCAGAGAACATCTAAACTGTCATTCTTTTCTGCTCTGAGTAATGAAATTCTTGGTTACATGTTAGCGAACACAATCTTTTTTTTTTCTTTTGGTATTTTAGACATTCTTTTTTATAATCAGTTTAGCAAACTTTCATTTAAAAATTTAGCTTTCTTTACAGCTTACTCCTGCCCTCTCCATGCTTTCTAAAAGGTTCCAGAGCTTCAGTTCAGATGACAAGCACACTTAATAGGGATTTTTTGGTTATTGTGGAGAGGTCACCACATTCCTGGCACCATAAATGACTGCAGCAGAGGTGGAACTGGGAACTACTGGGAGAAAAGTGAATTTCCCCTATGACAAACAAAGCATTAGTAAAGACCCAAGCAAATTCTAAGATCTAAAGAATGAGAGAAAGGGTAACTCCATTAAGGAAAATGAAGAAGGAAATATTAAAGAACTGCAAGAAATAGTGTCAAATCTCAAAATACTGTAGAAATACCATCTTAAGCTATAGTGCAGCTGACATGTCCAAAAAGATGTACAGAGGAACACATTATTACCAATAATAAACTGTTGGAAAATGACCAGAGGATGTTCTGTAGATACTCAGAGCAAAGGAATGACTACCATGATACAGAAACAAAGTATAATTTTTGGATGGTTCTGTGGAAAAGTACCATGTCATCCATCAGTAATGTGGACTGAAGAAACAGCATGTAAGCAGAGTGGTGTGATGAATCAGAGAGAAGTGCAATTCACAGATCAAGATGTACAGAGCCTGCGAAAATCAGAAATCACCAGGAAGAGGTGGTATCTACACTTACTGGTAAGAGAATGAAACGAATTTACATCCTAAGCTCAAAATACATTTACAAGAAATAGAGGGGGGAAAAAGTAGATCCAACAGGACATCCTCTGACTGTGCCTGTAAGAACGAAGCAGGGGGAAAAGGGAGAGCAAGCTGTTGTTAAAGTATTAATACCTAATATTAGTTTGTCCTATACAAACATGAATCTCCTTACTTGAGAAAGACATCAAGCAAATGGAAGCTAAAGGGGTTTCCTTGAAGCTCAGAGAAAATGCCAGAGAAGTGGTCCAGAAGCAAAGAATTATCTAATTGTGAGCATCATTATAAAGATGATTGCTTATAAGAAAATAAAAACCTGCATGTATGATTGGCAGATCATGAGAAAAGATAATAACTTGTCATACTACTGGATGATGAGAGTGAAACAGCAATGAAAATAATTAATGGTGATTTTTTTATACAGTCACATGGAAAAGTACGTATTGTACCCAAGTACAGTAGTAAAATAGAGACAAGAGTGCAGAGCAGAACTTTCAAAGTAAACTGTCCAGACTCTTTGTCCTTAACTACATCTCCTGACTCCACAACTGGTTGTGTCCAAAGCTAAGACACTCGAGGAAGTGACTGAAAAGGGAAGGCCTGCTCTGTGTGTGTTTAGTGTGGATAACCTGACTGAATAAGCCAAGAAAGAATGAGAGTGAATGAGACAAAGATTAAACAGAAGAAATAACAGAGAAAAGCAGTATTTATTCAAACCATTTAGAAGTGAAATTTGGATTAAATAAGCATGTTAGCGTTTTACAAGACTAAAAGGCACTGCACAGATTTCCTTTGGGTGAAATCTGAGGGCAAGAATACCCATTGGTTACAATATAAAGTACAATACTATTGATGTCTGCTAAATATTACGAATTCTTCAGAAGGAAAAAAGTTGGCAGTTTAACAAGGGAATGAAGAAATACTCCTTTGGAGGATGTAGCAAATATATTGAAAAAAATTAGGTCAATACACATATTACAAATATGGCAAAACCATATATACTACCCCGGCATTCAGTATTCTATTGCTGTTGCAGATTAAAAAAAAAAAAAATTCTAAGGAGCTGAATAAAACTAGAAGAAAGTAGTTCCATGAAAAAGCTTTACTCTGATAGGAAAGATAAGGGAAAAGGACCTAAGAACAATCCAAAGTGTTGATTATAGATGTAGATCCGAGGTGTAAATTATTAAATGCATTAAATTAGTAATTAAGTGTTACTAATTATTATACTTACTATATTCAATTTTATTTGCTATTTAGAATATTTATTTACTAATAAATAATAATGTGAAAAATAGAAAACTGACTCCATTCAAAATAAAATTCTACAAATAAATTATTTATATACTATCACTGGGAATCACTCAATAAGCAGATGACAAAAAAAGAGACACAACTAGGAGTGGGTGGAAAAATAACTATATGGACAAAGCTGTTAGTAAACCTCACCAAACAGTATTGCAGATTGCAAGTAGTTTGCCAGGAGGGGAATGAAAAGAGAAGTTCTGAGTTGAATTATGACAGCACAGAAGAGGCTATTTTTACAAGATATATTAAATCTGACATGAATAGTAGAACAGAAAACAGGAAATATTGACAGGGCCCCAAAACTATTGGTTGTAACCTAAGTGGACATTCTAAGTTGGCCAGAGAAGAAAATAAAGTATAACATAACAAGTTGCAATGCTGCACTATTAGTGCAAAACAGAACTGTAAATAATAAAAATGTGGAAATGAGGGGTTTCAACAGTTACTCTACATGAAACACATGGCAAGACACCAGATCCTGCTTACAAACTGATGCAAGAGTGCTTTATGCTCTATTTTTCATTTAATAAGACTGTTAATCTAAAATGCAAAAAAAAATTAACAAATATATGTTATGGCTCAAGCTCCAAAAAATCTGGGGCATGAAAAGGTCAGTGATAAAATCCATTATTGATAATGGTGGTATCATAATAAGAGTAGATAAACCGAAAGGTGTAACCACAAATTCTTCAGATCACTTCCGATCAGATCCTTCTGACCTGAAAGATCACCAATCCTTCAGAAGGAGGCACCAGTGTCTTTCTCTAAGTTACTAAGGAGGGCAAGAACATTCTGAAGTCTCTGATGGCTGTACTGAGTTAAGATAACTAATTAAGTGGACTATGGCATTTGAAACAAATGTTTACAATGTAGGAATATTTTAGATAATAAGCCAAAACAGACTTATAAAACACTATGCATAATTTCAAGAGTTAAGACACATGCAGTTAAATTTAAGAAGCACAATAAAACTCATAAAACTTATACTTACATACATACATAAAACATCTGTATCTATAAAGCAGCATATACCTCATGAGAGTTGTAATCTGGAGGCAACTTCTCTAGCATCTCATCAGCAAGACGCTGCACCACTGCTTCTCGGGTTTCCCCACCTCCAGTGTTGCTGGTTTTGGGCTGGATGCTCACTATTGTACTTAAAGTCTCATTAGCAAGGTTTGTCTGGTAAGTTATATCTGCATTAGGGTGAAGTCCAAATACCTTAAAATAAAAGCAAAAAAATAGAAAAAAATTTGCAATTTTTCTTCTAGAATTGTATCAAAGAAAGAATCCATGAAAACAAATAAACAAGAAAATCCTCAGGTCTATAAAATAATAGGTATGAATAGGTCAGTGGAAATACACCCATTTAATTTGCCAAGGACCAAGCCCAAACTACACAAAAACGTTAACATAGGCTGCATATACAGTAGCATTTTCATTCACATGAGTGGTTTTTTTTAATTAATCTTCTGATTATCTTCACATAGCAGGCTTTGGATCATGCTCTGGAGTGCTATCAGGAGGTACAAATTGATTCCTTTCCACTGGTTCAGACTAGAGCTTGTTGGAAACATGTCACATGCAGGCACTGACCCCTCCCCACTAGCTGTTTGTCTCTACAGGTCTGTTGCGGTGGTACTAGCTCAAGTAGATGCCTCTCATAATCAGACCAGTTACCTTTTCTAACACATTTTGTTTTACTCAGTCTCTTAGGCTTACACAGCATGCAGCATAGTGAATAAAACACTGCCCATACTCAGGATACCTAAAGATGTTATGACTGGTGATATACTTAGGATATTTTATGGTTTAGCGATTTTTGGTTTAGGTCTCTCACTCCTTACTTCCCCTTCTGAAATGGAAGTATTTTATTTAAGATACAGCTAGCACAGAGTTACTGCAAAGCTTCCCGTTGTCTGAATGATAATAGCTTTTCCAGAAACTTCCACTGAAATATCAATAAGTCTATAACTATCAGGTTGACAACTGCAACTCTTCTCCAGGAGGAATTATACTGTGACTTATTTCACAAGCCCTCACTTAATTATAGCTATTAACTATCTCTTACAAACTTTGAACCACTAATCCAACATTGAGGAAGGCTTGCCCTCAGACTGAGCACCAAAGCCAAGCAATCTTCCTTTTCTCATTTTTTCATCTTTTACATAGAATTGGTGTATTACAAAAAGATTCTTCTAAGTAACCAATATTTACATACTCTGAGGACAGAATAAAAAGGGCCATATGTAATATTGTTATGCCTGAAAATCTAGAAACTCGGAGACAAGGGATATAAGTGGCTGCATCTGTGTCAACACCAGAAAAGCTGCACTGATTTGTTGTGGATCTGATCCCTACAACAGCACAAAGAACACAGTATAGACCTAATACCGCATGTGCGAGAAGGTGTGACTATAACTAGCATGAAATTAGGTTCCAAGTAGGATTCACCATGTTTTACTCATAGCAGTTTACTCAACCTGAATATTCAGAGCTCTAAAAAGTGAAAATATCAATGCACTTTATTTATCATGGAACAAAATACACATTTGAAGACACAATCATTTCTGCTTTTGCTCTTGCACAATAAGGGTTGGTTTGGTTGGTTTTGCTCTAGCAGATTTTGTGGCAATGCTATAGCCCAAGTTAGAAACATGAAAAAATATCTGCTATTGTGAATGTAAACTGTAGTGCTAGTCCAAGGGCTAATTTCATAATTGGTGTAATATTGCCAAAAACAGGGCTGTTACATGGAAGATAATTCTGGTCCTATGTTTTTATGCAAGTGATGTAGGAAGGAATAAGAATGAAGAAACGAGAGTAGTAAAGCAATGCGTGGACCAGTGTCCTGGATGTCCTGTAAATTAATCAACCAGCCAAATTTCTCATTCTTTTTGATCCAAAATCTCTGGGAATTTTGATTAAAAGGGAGATGTTGGATTCTGTCTTTCAGGTTTTTTTTGCCTGATAAATCCTCAAAACCAATTGCTAAAGCTCTATACCCTTCTGAAATCAAAGTCATTTTCAAAGAGATTGCTGACTTCAATAGCCCTCTTCAGAAGTCAGTGTTTATTCTGATCAGAGGTTGATATTTCATCAAAAGAGCAAGGATACAGCAATCAGGCTTATTCAGTCTTTTTTTCTTAACCAAAAATGGAAAGGTGAGGAAACAAAGATACACTGTTTTGACTAGCACAATATCCTTTGTGGGACAAAGAAGACTGGGAACTTAGAAGGTTAAAGGTTTCCATGAGCAATTTTGACAGATTTTGGAATGACAGAAGAAAGTCATAGCTTTCTTCCTAACCTGTCAAAATGTGAAGGAGAAAAAGATGTTTGCATTCTTGGATTTGATCCTATTTACATAAAAGTCAAAGGTAAAATTCCTCTACATCAATCCATACATACAGATTTTTTACAGGCGTCAAAATACTTTAAAAATACATTGCAGCATTGTGAGATAGGTTCCCAAGTGCTTAGAAAAGCAGACCCATGAAAGTAGCACCTGAAATCTGAGAGAGTCAAGGTTCATGTACTGATAGGAACCATTTATGAATGGGGATCAAATGGATCCCACTGGTGTATTACCATGGCTGCAGTAACCTTCACTTGGAAAAGAGGCATCATTGCCAGCACAAATACCCTTGCATCCTCCTTTTACTGCCTTCAGAGATTCCAAACTTTTCAAGTTTATTTTATGACCTTGGAATCTTCTTGCCCTCTCAGCCAACTCATTAACAGTAACAGAAAACAATTTTTTCTGTTCAGTCCTGTCTATTTAATTTTAGTATAACTTATCTCCAAAGGCATTTATCAACTTAATAGCAATGAGACAGAAATCCAGAGCATTCACTTCTGTTTCAGTTTCAACTAACTTCATCACATGTGCCTGTACTAGAGGGAGCAGAAAGTTGTAGTCCTCCAATTAATGTGACTGCTGTGGTATACACACACTGGGTCATGTAAAAGTGGTGGCAATCAGCAGCTACCCTGCACCCTACCGCATCAATTCATGGAAACATCCAGATCTTCCTGTTCTCAAAATGGAACAATCTCCCAATTATAACCCACAAAATGAGACCATATGGCTTTTTAATTTCATTATTTCTCCGTTCACCTATCTGCTCAATCCCATACAGAATGGCAAAATCACAAAATAGTGTAGTTTGGGAGGGATCTCTGAAGGTCATCTAATCCAAACCACCTGCTCAAGCAGGGCCAGATAGAGCAGGCTGTCCAGCACAGTGTCCAGTTGGAATTTTAATATCTACAAAGATCAAGATTCCACAACCTCTCTTGGCAACCACTTCCAGTGCTTGACCACCTTCACTGTGAAAAAGTGTTTTCTCATTGTCAGATAGAACACCCTGTTTAATTTATGCCCATTGCCTCTTGTCCTTTCACTGGGTACCATTGAAAAGACTCTGGCTCCATCTTTACACCCTCCCAACAGGTATTTATACACATTGATAAGATCCCACTTGAGCTAGAGAGTCCCAGCTCTCAGCCTTTCCTCATATGACAGATGCTCCAGTCCCTTAATCATCTTCATGGCCCTGTTCTGGACTCAGTCCAGTAAGTCCCTACCTTTCTTGTACTGGGGAGCCCAGAACTGAACACAGTACTTCAGATACAGTCTCACCAGTGCACAGTAGAGAGAAAGGATTACCTCCCTTAACCTGCTGGATCATCTCCCTCTTCCTAATGCAGCCTAAGATACTGTTGGCCTCTTTGCCATGAGGATACATTGCTCTGTCATTGTCAGCTAGTTTACCACCAGGACAACCAATGCACAGGAATTTGCATTTCCTTCTGTCAAACGTCATGAGATTCCCCTCTGCCCAGGTCCTCAGCCTGCCTGGATCTCTCTGGACAGCAGCACAACCATCTGTTCTACCAGCCGTTCCTTCCAGTTTTGTATCTCCTGTGAACTTGTTGAAGGTCTACTCTGCCCCATTATCCAGGTCATTAACAAAGATGTTAAACAGCACTGGCTCCAGCATTGACCCCTGGCAGACAGCACTAGTGACTTCTCTGCAGTTGGACTTTGTGCCACTGATCACTACTTTCTGGGACAGGTTATTTAGCCAGTTTTAAAACCACCTCACAGCACATTTATCTAACCCATACTTTTTCAGCTTGTCTATGAAGACTTTATGGGAGGTAGCGTCAAATGCCTTACTGAAGTTAAAGTAAAAAACACCCACTGCTCTCCCCTTATTCACCAAGCTGATCACCTCATTGTAGAAGGCTGTCAGGTTGGTTAAGCATGATTTTTCTTTCACAAATTCATGCTGGCTACTCTCAGTCACCTGCTTGTCCTTCGTATGTTTGGAAATGCTTTGCAAAAGAATTTTCTCCAGCACCTCCCCAGGGACTGAGGTGAGGCTGATCAGCCTGTAGTTCACTAGATCTTCCTTCTTCCCTTCTCAAAGACTGAAGCAATATTTGCTATCTTCCATTCTTCAGGAACCTCTTCCAATCACCATGACCATTTAAAAGTAATCATGAGTGACCTGACAATGGCATCAGCCAGCTCCCTCAGCACTCATGGGTGCAACCCATCGGGTACCATGAACTTACATACTTTCAGTTTATTTAAATGCTCCCTAACCTGGTCCTCTTCCACCACAGTTAAATTCCTTGTTCTACACTTTTTGTCTCAGGGGTTGGAATTCCTGGAGTCCAGTTTTACTGCTAAAGACTGAGGTAAAGAAGGCATTTAGCTTTTTCAATATCACTTCTCACTAGTTCTCTTGCCCCATTCAGCAATGGACCCATATTTTCCCTAGTCATCTTTTTGTTGTTTATGTACTGTTTATCTGTTTATGTACTAATTTATCTGTCCAGGAATGTGAAGGGCAACAAGAAAAGATTTGTAAAATTCCTGGACAGATTCAATTCCGCTTTGGCCTTGGCTTTCCTAATTCTATCCCTGCAAGACTGGACAGTAGCTCTATACTCTTGCTGGGTCACCTGTCCCTGCTTCCACCTCTTGTACCCTTCCTTTTTATGTCTGAATTTAGTTAGGAGCTTCTTGTTCATCCATTCAGGTCTCCTGCTGCCTTCAATTTCCTACTTGTTAGAATGGATCTTTCTTGATCTTGGAGGAGGTCATCCCCAAATATAAACCAGTTCTCCTGGACCTCTCTACTCTCCAGCGCCATATCCCATGGGATTCTTCCAAGCCTAGAAGAAACCTCTGAAGGGGTTGAAATCTGCTCTCCTGAAATCCAGGACTGCAGTCCTGCTTTTTGCCCTGCTCCCTCCTGTTAGGATCCTGAACTCCACCACTGGTCATTGCAGTCAAGACTGTCTCTGGATTTCACATCCCTGACCAGTTCTTCCTCGCTTACAAGTATCAGATGTTTCCAGAATCATAGAATCATAAAATCATAGAATAGTTTGGGTTGGAACCTTTAAAGGTCATCTAGTCCAACCCCTCTGCAACGAGCAACTAGATCAGGTTGCTCAGAGCCCCGTCCAACCTGACCTGGAATGTTTCCAGGCATGGGGTATACACAACCTCTCTAGGCAACTTGTGTCAGAGTTTCACCACCCTCTTTGTTAAAAATTTCTTCCTTCTATCTAGTCTAAATCTACCCTCTTTTAGTTTAAAACCATTACCCCTTGTCCTATCACTACAGGCCCTGCTAAAAAGTCTGTACACATTTTTCTTAGAAGCCCCCTTTAAGTACTGGAAGGCTGCAGTCAGGTCTCCCTGGAGCCTTCTCTTCTCCAGTCTGAACAACCCCAACTCTCTCAGCCTGTCCTCATAGGAGAGGTGTTCCATTCCTCTGATCATTTTTGTGGCCCTCCTCTGCACCCGCTCCAACAGGTCCATGTCTTTCCTGTGCTGAGGGCTCCAGAGCTGGATACAGGACTCCAGGTGGGGTCTCATCAGAGCAGAGTAGTGTGGCAGCATCACCTCCCTTGACCTACTGGCTATGCTTCTTTGGATGCAGCCCAGGATACAGTTGGCCTTCTGGGCTGCGAGCACACATTCCTGACTCACGTGCAGCTTTTCATCCAGTGGTAGCACCAAGTCCTTCTTGGCAGGGCTGCTCTCAATCCCTTCATTCCCCAGCCTGTACTGATACCAGGGGTTGCCCCGACCCAGGTGCAGGACCCTGCACTTGGCCTTGTTGAACCTCATGAGGTTCACACAGGCCCATTCATCAAGCTTGTCCAGGTCCCTCTGGATGACATCCTATCCCTCAGGCATGTCAACCACACCACTCAGCTTGGTGTCATCTGCAAACTTGCTGAGGGTGCACTCGATCCCACTATGTCATTGATGAAGATATGAAAGAGTACTGATCCCAGTATGGACCCCTGAGGGACACCGCTTGTCACCAATCTCCATCTGAACATTGAGCCATTGACCACTACCCTCTGGATGTGACCATCCAACCAATTCCTCATCCACTGAACAGTCCACCCATCAAATCTGTATCTCTCCAATTTAGAGAGAAGGATGTTGTGGGGGTCCATCTTAAAGGCCTTAGAGAAGTCCAGATAGACAACATTCCCTTGTCCACTGATGTGGTCACTCCATTACTGAAGGCCACTAGGTTGTTCAGGCAGGACTTGCCCTTGCTGAAGCCATGCTGGCTATCTCCAATCACATCCCTGCCTTCTGTGTGCCTTAGCATAGCTTCTAGGAGGTTGTGTTCCATGATCTTCCCCGGCACAGAGGTGAGGCTGACAGGTCGGTAGTTCCCAGGGTCCTCCTTGCTAACTTTTTTAAAAATCAGTGCAATGTTTCCCTTTTTCCAGTCTCCAGGGATTTCACCTGACTGCCAGGACTTTTCAAATATCATGGAGAATGGCTTGGCAACTACATCAGCCAATTCCCTTAGGACTCTGCGATGCATCTCATCAAGTCCCATAGACTTGTGCATGTTCAGCTTCCTCAGGTGGTCACGAATCTGATCTTCTCTTACAGTGGAGGGACTTTGCTCCTCCAGTCCCCATCTTGCACACCATCCCCTCGAGAGGTGTGGGAAGAGAGACTGCCAGTGAAGACTGAGGCAAAGAAGTTGTTCAGTACCTCAGCCTCCTCCTCATCTGTTGTTACCAGTTTGCCAGTCTTGCTCATCAAGGGGGGTATGCTTTCTTTGACCTTCCTTTTCCGGCTGACATACCTATAGAAGCCCTTCTTAATATTCTTTGCATCCCTTGCCAAGTTCAGCTCCAGCCGCACCTTGTCCCTCCTGACCCGATCCCTACAGAATCGGGCAATGTACCCGTCCTCTTCCCAGGATACCTGTCCCTGCTTCCACTGCCTGTGCATTTCCTTCTTTCCCTTGGTTTGCCCATCAGGTCTCCACTCAGCCATGCTGATTGACAATCACCTCAACTTGCCAGATCCAGCCAAGTACCTTTTCTTGTTGACATCTCATTTACCTGTGCCAGGAAGCTGTCATTAATGCACTCAAGAAATCTCCTAGACTGCTTGAACACTGCTGTACCACCCTTCCAGCAGATAATTAGGGTTGTTAAAGTCCACCATGAGGACCAGGGCCTGTGAATGTGAGACTTCTTCCAGTTGTTTGTAGGAGGCACTATGTACCTCTTCCTGGTCCACAGATCTACACTAGACACCCACTATAATGGTCTGCCTGCTAATCTTGACCTGTACATTCGTGTCTCTGGAAAATATACCTGACTAAATTACTTATCTGACAAAAAATCCCTTTAATACTTTGAAATAGTTTACCTCAGGTGTATCGATCACTGGCAATTGCTCTATGTACTGGATATAGTCCTCAACTGTTTTCCCTTTTGGAATAATATAATTTTTGTAGAAACAAAATTTTTCACTAAACATATGCTCTCCAAACCACACTCTTGCATATGTATTCAGCAGTGCTTTGTCAAGGTCATCAGTTACACGGCCACCATACTGTACTTCTCCAAGCATATAGCGAACACAGCTCCAGTTCACTCCACGTTTAATATCGACATCATCCAAATGATTCTGAACAAATTGTATGCTGGCTGCAAAGTCTGCTTGATTAAATTCATAGGGAATATTCCAGCCCAATGGACCAAACTTTCGTCTTTCCTGTAAAATACATAGAGATAAAGGTAAAAGGCTAGTTGATAGTAATTGTGAAGAAAATATTAAGTGCACAAGAATACATGAAATATGCTAAGAATGCAGCAGTCCAGCTGGGGTTGTATTTCACCAACTCTAAAAAAAATGATTCTTCTCTTAAAACACACAAGGCCAAATGCTTGATTAATTATCTAGGAGTTAAATATTTCTTCATTTATCATCATCAGTAGAGAGAGATGAACAAAGAATATGAATATTAACATTTTCACAAAGAAAAAATCCTCTTTTTTTAAGTGCAGCAGATCTGTGAGTCTAGAACTATAGTTTCTGAATTTCAAAAATGAAGCTACCATTTTTGGAAAGGGTGTTCAAACTCATCAGCCATGATCACTGTCTGTGGTCCTCTTATGGACTAGGTATACTTGTACCACTGGCATCTCTGCATGGTGCAGATTCAAGTAGCAAAAGTTGCTTCTTACTGAATCATTTTCAGATGCAGCTGGCAGTATGTGGTTGTTAGGTCAATATCTGGCACTTAAACACTCTTAATTTCCACCATGAAAGAAGCGATGAGCCAAAGACAAGCGTACCACAGGCTTCCATTTGACCACAATGTATCATTGCATGGATGCCACAGTGTTAAATTAACTAGGCACCAAATATAAACTAAGGATACTGCAAAATCTATCAATAGAATGATGAAAAGTTGTGGTTAATCCATAGAGCACTTTCTTTAATGGAACTCCTGAAAGGCAAGACCCAAAATCATCTTCCATCTTCATTTCCTCCTGCAGGTTTCAGTGCAGGAAGGATTTATATTCACCCTCTTAGCCTTTCTCATTGTGAAAGCAGGAGTTTTAAGACTATGGCTTTCCAACCCAAGCTGTAAATTTCTTTAATGTGTTTTTATGATTTAAAATATTAGTAAAAAAACAGTTACTTGAAAGACAAATCACACAGCCATGCCCAAAGAATTTAACAGAACAGTACACTAATTGATCATTGGTTGACTGTCCTTTTTTACTCTGAAATAGCATCCCTGTTGGAGGTACAAGATCAACATGAGCAGAGTTCTAGGTCCTAAGACAGTTGCATTAATAGAGGCACGTTGCTTTCCTTCTTGTTTTATTTGTATTAATTTACCAACATAGAATTTCCATTTAAACATGTTTTTCATTTAATAACACTATGCCTTAATAAATGAAACATGGCTTTATGATAGAAGAAAAGAAACGTATTTTTAAACCTGAACAGTTGTGTGAAGAAATGCTACAGCATATAGCATTGGTTTCCACTGTGGCATGTTGCTCACTTCCAGGTGATCCTGAGTAACAGCTGAGTATGTTCGTTTTAAGCCAGCTTTCACACCTAGAAAATAAGTATAAAAATGTAATATATGATCAAAAAAATGTATGGAAGCCATAACTCTGATTTCTGCTAAGCAGAATTCTCTATTCTAATTTACAGTATCATCTTATTTATAGCTTCAAATAATCTCTTTGAATCAATTATCTGTTCAGCTGGCCACAGCAAGCAAAATTCAGTTACATTCTGTTCCTGGTAGATGACACACCAAATTAAGTTCAGGAGTCTGGAAGGAATTACACTTAAGTAATCATATTCTAAATGTTACCAATAACAACCAAAATACAAACATAACTATTCAGCAACTATATGGCAATCAAAAAGACACCTAACATCATATGAAATATAGCAGTGAATATCGAAGAGTTTGTGTTTCAAAATTTACATATAAAATTAGATTTTAGTTCTACCAAAGACAATTTTATTTAGATTTCATTCCTATCACAATCTTAAAATTCTGTATGCAGGCTCTCAAACTAGCATACAGATACCACGCTGATGAGAACCTAAATTCATAGTGGAAATACTAATACTTGGGAAGGTTTGTTTGAGCATTGACATTTCAAATCCCAGGAACAGCTTGAGGCAGATGATACTGATACAATTTCAGCTTCCATGGGATACGTAAGTTCCTCTACTCCCAGATGCTTTCAGGCAGCATTACTGAAGCATCGTCTGCCTTTGACAGACAACACCAAGCATGAGTTACTGACACCAGGTCCCTCTTATGATATCTTCCACATAATCAGCTTAACACAAGTCTAAAAAGACAGATTTCAAGTGCAATGAATAGATTGTCCAAGTCCTCATACTTCCTGTGTCACAATAAAAGACCTTTTGCTTCTTTCTTACTTCACAAAGATGCTGTAGAACAATATTCAAACAAATAGCTTTTCAAAATATTACAAGCGTATCATAAGAGAGTTCCAAAATCAAGACAAAGTAATCAAACAGAAGTTCTCTATCACATTGTACTACCTATGTGGCAGGACAGTAACAGAAAACTAAAACTGTTTAAATTTCACGCTGACTTAAATTGTTAAACCAGGCATATTTCTATTACTAAATGCAAGTTGTAAATTGGCTATAACCTGATTTATAAAATAGCCTCTTGGAGCTATAGGGTGTTAACATTTGAATGATAAGGACAGGTTACAGTACAATAAAAAGATGCTGAGCACTGAATTAAAAAGGGTGGAGGAGAAGGGAAAGAAGTAAGAAACTTTTAACAGCAGACTGACTAACTGCTCTTGACAGTGGAGTATGTACAATGAAACAGGATGTCTTTCACAAGATCAGACATTTTGTAGACATCTTACTAATGTTTAAAGGAAGATGAATACTGAAATAAGAGTTTTAAATGACTGAGGCATTAAATAAGACCTTGGATAAAAATTCTCAGCTGCTACTAACTTCAACTGAAATCAGTGGCAACACACATATATATAAATGAAGGGCAAGTTAATGCATTACACAGTGTGAGGGAGTTAAAAAGCAAAATAAGTGTTAGGCTTGAAGATTTCTTTCTGCCATAGTCCAAAACACAAAGTAACCTTCCCTCATCATACATAATGAGTAGATATAAGGCAGGGTAGTAATTTGCTTCTATAAAGGTATAAAGGATGTCTGCAGGCAGCAGCACAGTTTGGCTAAGAGAGAGACATTCAACAGCAGAAGAGCAACAGGTTAGAGACTACTTAGAAAAGCTGGATGTTCTCTTATCACACAGAATAACAACAAATAGTTTAGGTTTGAAAGGACCTCTGGAGGTCACCTTGCACAATACCCCTTCTTAAAGCAGGGTTGACTAGAGCTGCTTGCTCAGCATCTTATCCATGTGGGTTTTGAGGATGGAGTCTACAAACTCACTGAACAAGCTGTTCCAGTATTTGACCACCCTCACAGTGGGTTAAGTTTTTTCTGATGCTGCAATGGAATTTCCTGGATTTCCATTTGTGTCCATCTCCTCTCTTTCTGTCACTTGGCACCACTGAGAAAAGTCTTGCTGTTGTCTTTACTGACTCCCATCATGTATTTATATGCATTGATAAGATATCCCTTCTCTCCTCAAGGTTAAACAATCATCGCGCTCTCAGCCTCTCCTCATATGTCACGTTCTCTAATCCCTTCTGCATCTTTGCGGACTGTCACTGGACTCATTCTGTCCATGCTTTTCTTTCACTGTGTCCTGGTTTCAGCCAGGATAGAGTTGGTTTTCTTCACAGAAGCTGGTGTGAGGCTGTGTTTTGGATTTGGGACAAGAAAATGCTGATAACGTGCTGATGTTTTGAGCTGTCACTAAGCAGTCAAGGACAGTCCAGCTTCTCATGCTGGCCTGCCATCAAGAAGGCTGGGGGTGCACAGGGAGCTGGGAGGGGACACAGCTGGGACAGCTGACCCAGGCTGCCCAAAGAGATATTCCCTACCATATGACGTCATGCCCAGTACGTAAACTGGAGTTGGCCGGGGGGTGGAACTTGCTGCTCGGGGACGGGCTGTCGATCGCCGGGTGGTGAGCAATTGCTGTATTTGGCATCACTTGTTCTTGTACATTCTTTTGTCGGTATTACTATTGTTGTTATCATTGTTTCCTTCTCTCTTGCTGTCCTATTAAACTGTTTTTATCTCAACCCACGAGTTTTTTCCCAATTCTCTCCCCCATCCCAGTGGGGGAGGGGGGAGTGAGTGAGTGGCTGCATGGTGCTTAGTTGGCGGCTGGGGCTAAACCACGACACACTGTTAATGCATTTCAGTTCAGGTCAGACCTGGACACACCACTCCAAATATGCTCTCACCATGACTGAGTAGAGAAGAATCACCTCCCTCAAGCTGGTGTAAATGATCTTCCTACTGCAGCTGAGGGTGCTGCAGGCCATCTTTGCTCCAAGGACATATTGCTGGCTCATGTTCCACCTGATTTCCATCAGTAACCCCAGGTCCTTTTCTGCAAAGCTGCTTTACAGCTGGTCAGTCCCATCATGTATGGGTGCATGAGGTTCTTTCTCCCGAGGAGGAGTACTTGGCATTTCCCTGTGTTGAAATTCAGCAGATTCCTGTCAGACCATTTTTCCAGTCTGTGAAACTACCACTGAACAACAACATGACTTTCTGGTGTATCAGCCCCTTCTTCCCACTTTGTATCAACTATAAACTTGCTGAGGGTGTCCTATCATCTAGGTCATTAGTGAAAATTTTAACCACTGCTGGCCCCGGTATTGAACCCTGGGATACATCACTGGTGACTGCTCTCCAGCTGGATTTGTGCAGCTGACCACAACCATTCGAGCCTGGGAGTTCACACAATTTTCAATCCACCTCATTGTCCACTTCTGTAATGCCTATTTCATCAGTATGTCTATAAGGATGTACTGGGGGGCTGTGTCAAAAGCCTTCTTGAAGTCAAGATAAACACCACCCTATGCTCTCCCCTCATCCACTAAACCAATCATCTTACTGTAGAAGCCTACTAGTAGGCTCAAATAATAGTAAGTAATCAATGGCTTAAGATATCCTAGCAGGCAGAAAAAAATCAAAGTACATCAGGGACAGATATTGTTCAATATTTTTATCAGTGGCTTGGATAAGGAGACAAAAGGCAACCTCAACAAATTTGCAGACAATTCTAAATTAGAGAGTGTGGCTGATATACTAAATGGCAGAGCATCAGTCTAGAGAGATCTAGAGAGAAACGAAGACTTGGTCAACAAAACCTGCACGAAGTTCAACACGGAGAAGTGAAAAGTTCTGCACCTGCAGCACAATAACCCCATGTGTTCATATAAGCTGAGATCTACTGTTAAGCCCCTCAGGATTATCACAGATGTCAGGCTGCCTATAAGCCAAAATTGCACTATTCTTGCAAATAAAGCAATCCAGATAGTGGGCTACCTTAGAAGAAGCACAGGCAGCAGACTGAAGGAAGTTCTTATCACTTTCCACTTAGTACTGATCAGGCTTCCCCTCAGATATATTGTCCACATTTGGTACACAAGGGAGCTTTGGAGAAACTGGATGGGGCGATAAAGGTGGTCAGATACTGAGAGTGCATGACCTACAAAGATAGGACAAGAAGGCCGAGTTTGTTTAGTCTGTTGAAGAGGAGACTGTGGTATGTAAAAACCAGCTTAAATTGTGAATACTGAAAGGCAGCAGATAGATAGATAATTCTGTGCATGTATGAGGGATGGTGGCTGTCCAAAACTGAAATTTTGAACTCTCAAGGACAAACCTGCTGCTTGCTAGCTGCCAATGGTACAGGCTGCAAAAAGTGAAACATCCTGAATCCTACAGAAACATGTATCAGAACTGTCAGTTAGGTCGGTGATCACACACTGTGCTTCTGCACATAGACTACTTAGGTTAGGAAAACTGGGGGCTTAGAGGCCCAGAAAGCACGAGATGAACATCCTAGCTTGAGGAAACATCCTGGAAGTGGGGAAAGATTCTGGAGGTAAGGAAGATGCATGGAGACAAATGCCAGGGGATGCCCAGGGACCTAGGCCAGTAATGTCCAAGACTGGTAGCTACAAGTAGCTGCACAGCACAAAACCAACATGACTTCCTGGACCAGCAGCGATCTCTCTAATGGGAAGGGAAATCAAGATGAAATGAATGCAATACAGGAGGCTGGGAGCATGAGAGAGTGAGTGTGTAAAATAAGCAAGTTGCACAAAAGGCCTAATCTCATTGGTTCTTAGTAGGATTTAGTAGGAGCTCACAAATACTTGAAACACAATTACAAAGATGCTGGGGTCAGTCTCCTGTCAGCAGTGCCAGACGACATAACAAGAAGCAACTGCCACAGCTACATACTGCAGCTCGGGAGGTTGAAGTTGGGTGTTCAGAAGAGTCCATCCTTTTCCTTACCCAGCAGAGCACAAGATCGGTCCCCCTCTGCATCCTTGGGTGGGGTCAACAGGACAGAAAAGAAAGAGTGATGGCATGTGTTAACCTTAAGAAAGGACCTAGCATTCTCCAGAAGTTCTACACAAACAACAAAATCACTATCAATTTCTGTTACAAAAAGAAACGATATCCATTTCCTCCCCAAAAGAATCATGCTTTACACATTGCAAGACTGATTTACACAGTGCTGTATTTAGCTAATGAAACAACAGAGAATACAAAATAAAACACATGTAAAACTCACCATGCACAGAGCATAGTGATACTGTCTGGGTTTCAGCTCAGATAGAATTAATTTTTTTCATAGCAGTTAGTAGTTAGTTTGGATTTGTGCTGAAAACAGTGTGGATAATTCAGGGACGTTTTCTGTTGTTGCTAAGCAGTCAAGGGCTGACCAGCTTCTCATGCTGGCCTGCCAGTGAGTAGGCTGGGGGTGCACAAGAAGTTGCGAGGGGACACAGCTGGGTCAGTTGCCCCCAACTGACCAAAGGGGTATTCCATACCATGTGACATCATGCTCAGTAGATAAAGCTGGGGGAAGAAGAAGGAAGCAGGGGGTGTTGGGAGTTACGGCACTTGTCTTCCCAAGTAACTGTTGTGTGTGTTGGAGCCCTGCTTTCCTGGAGATGGCTGAACACCTGCCTGCCAATGGGAAGTGGTGAATTAATTCCTTGTTTTGCTTTGCACGCGTGGGTTTTTCTGTCCTATTAAACCATCCTAGAGAGGGAAAAAGCAAGTGCCAAAACTCAAAAAACTCATCGTTTCCTACCTTGAGGGGGTTCATTAGTAAATTTGATAGAGGACTGTAAAAGATTAATAGGAAACTGTGTATGAGCCTCTGTAGTGATCCAGGTCCTGAAACCTTCACTCATAGATTCTGTTGTTGCAATGGTGTCCATTAATTCATTAAGAAACTCCAAGCCAAGGTGGCAGTTCTGTAGAAGGAGCCATCCTCCATCCTGCATGCACTGATTTAACAGGCGCCTTGCATGGACTTCCTGGCCCTGACCCATTGAAATGGCACGACAGGGAATGTTCTGGAAGGAAAAAAGAAAGCTTCTTTTATATATAGTTCTTTAGAATTATTATACACATGATGTATTGCTTCCATAAGTCCATGTGTAGTGACATTGTGCCATAAAGAAAACCTCTAATATCAGTGGAGACTGATTATATTAAAAGAGAGTAAACAAAAAATCAAAACCCTCCAAGTTGCTCTTATCCTTCACCTGCTGAAAGAAAACTACACCCACTGGACATAATTTTTTTTTGCAGGTCTGATAAAGTCAATGGGATAAGACAAATAAAGCATTTTCCCTTCCTTTTCTCTACTTTCCCAAATAAAGCAGGACATACACACAGCAACATAGCTTCCTGATTATTCTTCTTCCTATGATGTGGTCTATCTTGAGAAGGACAGATACTAAGGCTCCACATAATAATTAATACACAGAGTAAAGCCAACAATTTTTATGTCTTTTTACTGTATGAACAAATTTATTTCATCTAACGGAGAACTGTCAAGAAAGCAGGCAGGACAGGAAAGATTGGTTCACATTAAGTCATTCCTTAGCAAACAAACATCCTGTATTGATTGGCAGCTGTGGAGCCACTGATTCAGAGGATTCTAGTTTGGTGATCTGCTAGCTCTAGCTAGTTTTCTAGCTGTTAGTTTTCTGGATTCAGAAGAGACAAAGCTCATAAATGCAAACACATGAATTCCAGAAATTTATGAAGTCTTTCCTCCAGAGGCCATGGGAGAAGAAAGCCAGTTGTTCAGAAAAACAGAAGATGATACAAGCTCTGACAAGGGGATCCTAAAAAGACAATCTGACTAGGTTGTGATCAGAACCATACAAGTCTGTAAGTGATGAGCAGGCAGACCCCTTCTTGCTTACTGTTCTTACTACCCTTGTTCTTGTTAAGTAGTCCCCTGGCTTAGGTTGGCTGCCTGACTCCTACCATGGAAAACCAAAATTATCAAACCCACTTGAGCATATTATTCTATATACAAGTTGAGGGAAAGGGAATTGATGAAAATACTTAGTTCCATGGACAGTTTCATGTTCAAGACCTACAGCTGAGTATCCCTCATGATGTGAGTAATGAACTGCATAAAGATTTATCAATCTGGGCCTATCTTCAGTTGGCTGAAAGCTACAAAGGCTAATCTTAAGTTTTCCTGCTACTGGGACTCTGTCACTGCGAAACAAAAAAGAAGGAAGTCATCCAGTCATAAACAGTATGGATGAGGCTACCCTGCTTTTTCAGGAGAAAAAGGTTAAGCATATGGACACAAGCTGTGCCGGGTCATTTGGCCTTAGGGTCAGAGAACAGGCCCTGACCTGATTTTACTGAACAGTATAAAGACAGCTGCTGGATATGATCCTCCACATACTGGCAAAAGATTTAAGGAAAAGAGAATGCCAAAGATAAGAAAGCAGTTAAATCCTGCTCTCAAGTCAATAAAACCTGAAATTACAGCTAAAAGAAGCAAAGCTAAATAGCCTGTGAAGTTGGCTGCGTGCTAGAGGAGCAAAAACTTTACCCTTTCTAAGACGTACCTGAGTACAGCGAGCACTCCCATAAGTCAAAGACTATGACGACCCCTGCAGTGTGCATAAATATTCAGCTGGCACATTTTTCCCTAACAAAGCATCTGCTCATAATTTGCTTTTCTCAGCAACGTTACCTCTCAAATGTACCATCATTAAAGGTTAAAGAAACATCAAGACAAGGGAGAAGTATTTTTCACTATGGATTGTCCTCATTTTACTCCTTCTTGAAAGGACTCTGTCAAAATGTCCGCATACAGAATGTTTCTCTCAAAGGTGAGTCATACATATATATCTGTGTCATCCTAATACATTGCTATCCAGATGAAAATACTATCATTTTAGTCACTACAGTGGCCCTGACAGTTTTGTTGAAGGTTCTGTGCATCATTCCATGAAAGAAGAAACTACCTCTACAGTAATAAAAATATCTGGTTTTGATGAAGTCAAAGTTCTAGGCATAACTAACTTCCTTTTAATTCAGAAAGTTAAATTTTCACTCCATCTTCAAGTGAAAGTAAAAGGGGCAGAAATCCACCTAGTTTTAAGATAGAGCTTGCTTGGTTTATAAACAAGGTTACCAAGTCAAAATGTCTCTCATATCTTAGGGAAAGGCAAGAGAATATTTTGTGTATAGGAATAAAATTGTTCTTCCAATAAACCTAAAACTACTGTTTATCCAACTGCCATCCTTCTCCTTCCCTGTGTCTGATATTGGCTGGCTATCTGGCTGCACAGTTTTTGGGAACAGGGATCACATCAACAACTTCAGACTTAAAATTCCTAAGTTTAAACACCCAAGTGAGAGCAGATTATAATTCAAGCACTCCTTATCACAGTCAGACAAATAAAATGAAAGAGTCCTGATTTTCAAAGAGAAAGAGCATCTAAACTTTCTCATTAATAAGCTAAAGAGATTTGTGGGTGCTCCCCACTTTTGCAGTAAGTCTTACATAGTGCATACCAAAATCCTGCACCTCTAAACGAAGATGCATTCTAACAGGGAGGAAAATTTATGGAGACCTAGTGTGAATAACTTCTTGGGAAAATTATACTGGCATCTACGTTTTGAACCATAAAGCACAGAGTGACTTAAAGCAATGCTGTGCTGTAAGAAATGCTGAACACCTCCATCAAGTGAACTGATTGAATGGTAGGGTCTCCAAGTTAATTTCTCTTGTCACCATATTTATGATTTTTTTCTGTATCTTCCTGTATCATAGTCTGCTGGATAAAGACAAAGGGCTCATTGGAATCAAATGACCAGAAAAAGCAAGAATGTAACATTTTCATTTCTTCAGTAAATGCATTTTGGCTACTGGTCCAAAATTAACTTCCAAAGAACCCTGGTATGAATATGAATATCATCATTCAAAATTCTATAAAATGTGGAAATACCATTGTGAGTTGAAAGGATAGTTTCAAATGTCTTTATCAGCTCTAGCAAACTCAGTTTAGGAGGATACCTTTGATTTTGCAAGACGTTCTATATTTTCAGTGGGGTCAGAACCCATCGATAAAAAGCATGTCAAAGGTGTTCGACAGTCACTTTCTGTCCACATTGCTTCCATTTCAAGAATAAATCCTTCTGCATATTTCCCTCCAAGAGATTCTGCAATGTAGTGTCGAGCCTAAAAACACAAGTTAGATACTTTTTTTTTAAATTTATTTATCATTAAACAGTGATATGGAATTTACCAGTATCTACATTGGAAGGCAATGACTTTCTAAACTTTCATTTTCAACTTAGGTGTAGCAAAAGTTATAGTTCATAGGAGGCAACCATTGAAATTCTCAGATAGCAAACTTCAAACAAAGAAAAGAAAGAATTTTGCTCACACAACAGCCATCCTGTGAGCATTGTTGCTAGAGGATGCTAAATGTTTTCTTTTTATAAAAAGAACTGAAGAAATCCATGCAGAATAGATTCACTGTTGGCTTTGAGGACAGCCCAGATATTGCCCCTAAATTACTGACTGCTAAAGCCTGGTGGATAGCCAAACACAAGTGTTTCTCTATACCAGACCCAGTTTTAGCTCTTCTGAGCATGTATTATTGACACTGTCTCTGTAGCATAGCCGATTAGACAGATCTTTCATCTGACCCAGTTACAATCTTCCAAATATTTGTTGGAACTTCAGACAAATTCTCCTGTCCAGTTGTTATCCAGTTCAAGTCTCTTACACTGAATACCTATTTCTACAAAACAGAAACACAGCTCAGACTTTATCCTTAAAGGTCAAACCTTCCCCATGCCTCTATTGTCCTCTTTTCATAGACATTTGCTAAAACGACTTCTAAAGCTATCCTGATGTATGAAATGCTTTTTTGACTGACATGATTTTCCAACTGTGTAAACTACTAGTACAGATTCTGAGCCATGTATTGTGGAGAGAAACACTCAGGAACAAGGTGGGCTGAGGAAGATGCCAATTCCAGAAAAAATAATTCAATCATCCACTATTAAGTGTAACTTCTGCCCTAGCAAAGAGGTAAAATTTTTTAGCACTTGGAGAAACACAGTAGGGGAAGAAGAGATAAAGACGACAGCAACAAAAAGGATCCCCTCTTTCCTCAGAAATTAAAATAATTACCATTTTTGAAACCACTGTTCAGAGACATTCTTTCCCAAAGATGGTTGTGTAAGACAATAAGAGTGTTGATAAATGAGCAGTAGCAGCTTTATTATTTTGGTCAGTTTAAATTGTGGCAGATGGAGCTCCCATACTTCCCACTTACTTACCAGCTGAAGAGAAGAAAAGGAAAAAGGGTGGAGGGAGTATTGTTGAAAAAGAGGTCCATGAAAAAATGGTGTTCCTTAAATATAGCACAGATGCTATCATAACACGTAACATGTAAAGTTGAGATATGCAGGAAATCAGAAGTACTAATTTCCAGTGTAGCTAAAAACAAAAAAAGCGGAAAGGGGATCCTCATAGGCACATACATGTCTTTTAGACCTACGTAGAGAAGAAAAATCCAAATATCACAGACTATGGAGAAACTGCTATTGCAGTTTCTTTTATAATATCTGCCATGAGACAGTCTTAATTATTACTTCCTCAGCATGGAGGGTAAGTAAACATCTGCTATCTCAGTGCATCTGTCATCAAAGTGAACTGTTCTCCTTCCAATTCTTCTGGGAAAAAATAGGGATGTATCTTCTGATTCACTGGAAGAATGCAAATGCTTTACAAGTTTCATGGCTCCACTTTAGAAGCGCCACACAGAAAGAAGGGCATTCTTACAGCTTTACCACAATTTATTTCACATTTTGCAATGCCCTTTCTAATTCATTGCAATTAAATTAATATTTATTTCACATATATATAAGGATTTAAATATCTGATTTTCAAAATAGCTCACTCTGCAACAAATACTACAATAAAAACAAATTCAGAGAACATAAGTTTGGAACTAGCAATTCTGCGGGAGATGCCTCATGGCATAACCATCGTATGAAAGCATATCTTACTTGGGCAACGGTATGATCAGGGCACCAGCTACGCACAAGGAGCAGTTTACGGAATTGATCCAGTAAGCTGTCATATGCATCAGGAATAACAGCTTTTTCAGGTGCTTCTTCATCAAACCAAGCTTTCCAAGACTTCTCATTCCTAACAACTTGCACCAGAAGTTGATTAAAAGGGTACAAGCTAGATAACTGCACAAGATTCAGCCATGTCACATCAAGGATCCACTTCTTTGGTTTTGGTTCCACAGAATTCAGATCCAAACTGGCACCTCCTGCAAAGTGAAAAGCATTATAGAGAAAAACAACCATTGTTAAACAGAAAAATGAGAAGTAATTAAAAATATTTATTTCTATAATTTAGGGAGTAAAAATCTTTGCAAACCCATAACTTGCATGGAAGAGTCATTTAACAAAGACCTATTAGGGAAGTGGTCTCAGTGCCTCCTAGAGTTGATATCCCAGTAATTTTTGTGCTGCTTTTTCTCCATCTGTAGAGCTGGAATAAAACTTGCCTACCTAAAAGAATACACAAACCCAAGTCTTCAGACCAGCTGTAGAAAGGACCTATAGTTAGTCCAATCTCCCTTCACCTAGACTACAGAATAAGAAAGCACATGGTGCATTCACTTCCAGGACTGTGCAACTTCAACAGCCTCTTAGCTCAACCACCACTCCAGTGTCATGCCTGTTTGCACCTCCAACACAGCTGAGTCACAGCTGAACATTAAATCGGTGTTTGCAAAGCAAACTGAGATATTTGGATGACAAGTACTTGACTCGTCTCAGTACCTGATTGTACCTATCATATCTTGGAGACAGTGAGGTCCACCCCAAACAAATTTTATAAACTTTACTAAAATTTTTCTTTCTCATTGTGTCTGAGTAGTGACATGCAGTGGTAGCATAAAGCAATGGAATATAACAATGTTTTACAACATGTAACAGATTTCCACTTTTTTTATACTGACACTTACATGTGGTACAGAGTCCTCATGCACTCACATGTCTGCCTCTAAAAGAGATTTTGCTGGCTGTCTCCAAGCTCACAGACATAGGTATGTGGCAATGCAAAAAAGAGGCACACAGGAGAAAACTATAGGGTCTCTTACAAAGTAATGGACATTTTTTTTCTGTTTTTCAATGTAAAATAGTTAAATATCCTCAACTAAGAATTATTTTGATAATAAATAATCTATATTGCTCTTGTTTTGGAAAACTTGTCACTTAATTCCTTCTTGGGCTATATATGCCTTCATTCACCAGTTAAAAAACATCAGATCCACTGTATACAACATATTGTTAGTGCAAGCACAGCAAAATCTGAATTTGGCAGTTCACAGAAATATGTAAACGAAAATATTTTTAGAGAAATTACCTTTGATCAGTGTCTCAAACTCAGTGTGTGAAATTTTCTTGGCCTGCAAGTCAATCTTTAGTGCCAGAAGCAATGTAAACAGGAATCGGTGATTTTCATACAGCCCTCGAACTGTGTACTTGAAGACTTCATAGGTGAGATGCTCGATTACATATACCACCCTTTTTGCTGTGATCTGAGATTTCTGAGATCTTTCCACTGATAGGTCAAAAATGCCAAGGAACTGCCGCAAGGATGTTTGGTACATGACATTAATCAAGCTCATTTCCACAATTAGGAAGTAAAGGATGCTACCACGACAAGCAACAGGCCGATACTCTTCACGTGCAGTATTGATTTTCACCTCTGTCTCCGCTGCTATGTTTAATTTTTCACTGACCTTAAAATTAATGGAAAAGACCATGAAGATTAAGTCATGTCACTTGTGATTTCTACTGCACAAGCAAGAAGAAAAGGTCTTGATTAAGATCACAGTGGTATCTTTAGTCAAGCTTTGCTTCCCTATCTCAGTGTTTCAATACAGACATTGTATCTTCATGTGTTCAAACACCAAGCACAACAGGATTTGATTCAAACTTACACCTGCAAAGTATGCCTGGAATATAAAGCAGTATCCAGGTAATAGTTTAATTTTACAATACCTTATGAAGAAAAAATGATAGTGTTTCTACTATTTATTTGTGTAGAAGTCACATGTTATATAGCGGCTCTGAATGGAAAAAGCAAAACCAGGAAAAAAATCTGTCTACAAATAATCATTAAATTACAATTACAAAATGTATTTGCAATGCATTCAAAAATCACCTCTTCTGCTGTTACTTTAGTGTTCCTTAGGACTTCTATCAGAGAGTCATCTTCAACCAAAGAGCCCTCTGTACTGGTTAGACGGAAGAGTAGATTGTCTTCAAGCTCCTGCATTTTCCTCTTGTTAAATGTCACTTCTTCCATCAGTTTGACTCTTTCTGCCTCCAGTTCCTGTATTCAGAATTTTTCCTTAGAATATTTAAGATTAATTCAAATAAAGATTCCTTATAATGACACAGAAAACATGTGATTTCATGCATGATGGATTGGGGGCTTTGCTGCTTTTTCTATAAAATACAGAAATATTATATATTAAAGTAATTTATATCTATACTGTATTTATTTGATTAATGCAGCATACTGAGGAGTGAAAACACATCAGAATTACCAGGAAAAGATTCCTTATTGTAAGATGCACAAAGCACTAAAGCTAATTTCCAATGGGAAGTGATAAAAGCCACATTACTTTAAGTACTTAAATGAAATCAGATAAAGGGCTGAAATATGCATTGTAGAGATGGATTTTACATTATTAGGAAAGTTGACAGGATGACCTTTTCCATTTCTAATTTCTATGATTCTGTGACTTTGCAAGATACATTCCTCCACTCCTCATAAAATTGGAAATGTCACAATTATTATCTACGTCATATGGAATTTTATGCTATTTCCACAAGACAGACAATGGCAAGGGAACAATGAGAGACAAGTCAACACAATGCCAGGTGAAATGAGGCACAGTCCAACACAGCTCAGGGATACCCTTGCTGGCTACCTTTATTTAATCACACAAAAGGAGTAGTTCTACAGAATACTCAAACATGCATTTAAGTACATGCTTAAATTCTACTTAAGGACATGTTTTATTTAAGAACAGGCACCTCATCCATTCTATTTGTGAGCCTGTAAAGAGTATCTTTCAGAAAATTAGCAAATATACCAGATGCCAGGCTTTTGTTTGCAAGAGGATTTCACGACCACATTTGTAACATAAAAAATAGCTGTTCTGAACACAAATAGTGGCATCAACTTCATTATCAAAGTACAAAAACATGCTGATAATATTTTTTTTCATGTAGTTACAGGAGCAACCTTTAAAGCTGAGAAGAATAAACACTTCTTTGATCATATATTTCATTGATCACTATAGCAATCTTTAAGAATGCCTTGGTTCCTTTAATCTATTACTTTAGCTCAGTGATCATAAACTTGTCGTCTTGTTTGTAAAAGAAAACCTGTTCTTCAGATTCTCTGTTCATGCTCTGTCTTTTCTTTGAAGTAAATTTATCAGAGCTCCATTGGCTCTGGCTGTCTATACGCGGAATTCAGCTCTTACTGAGACAGAAGAGACAGAACAACCGTGATTTCTTCATACTTGCTAAATGGAAGAAGTTTAATAAATGTTGATCACCTGCAATGATGTCCCTGTGCAGCAAGTAGTGCTGACACTAACCAGCTACCCTTGCACCTCTCTTCAGCTGATACACAGCACTGGATGAATATTTTTCATTGACTATATTTTTGACACAAAATGCAGTCTAGGTGTTGATACATACATTCAATATGACTTCTCTAACAATTTTGGATAGGAAAAAAAGCACAGAAAGAGGGTATTGGTGTGGGGGGAGATGAGTTTTATATGTAGGTCATGAGAAACCAATTTCAATTCTATCTTGATTTAAACCTGCTGTTGTAGCTTTTCCATTTTTCATGGAACAATTCACCGGAAGTTTGGGCATAACAATGACTTTCTAGCCTCTGGTTGTGACTGTCAGCCTAAAGGAAGGGCACTTAGATTCCAGTCCCTTACTTCGGCAAATGCTCCACTTTGAGCGAAGTGGAAAGGTGTTGGCCAAAGAAAGTAAGAGCACGAATAAAGCACGCTGGATAGCACATGCTTTGGGAAGTCAAAGGAGGGGGAATGAATTCCCTTAGGTGGGGAACTGCTCTCACAGGAGCAAGCCTACCTGAGTTACTTATTGAAAGCCGCAGCTCTGCTAATCCAAACTTTAATTTTTGTTACTTTTCTCACAAAAACACAATTATGAAATGTTCCCTTTGAAATAAAGATGTCATTTAATTTATAAATTTTATAATTTATAATTTTTATAAATTTTTATAAATTGTATAAATACAACTTCTGTACTTTTACGTTAATGAGAAAGGAAGAAAATATTTTATTTTGGTGTAATTGGACCATAACACTCATATTTATTGGTATGACTGCCACAGTAAAAAAACCACATTTTTCCTCAGTGCCTATGATGAATTGACTCCTAAGTTTTTGGATAACCAGGCTGTTAAATCAGATCACACAAAAAGAATAGGAATGATCCAGGAATTAAATTGTTGTGGAGAATGTCTCAGATTTTATATTATGAAATAAAATTCCTGAGAAACACCTGAGAGGATTTTCTTCCTTATATTTGCTTCCATATAATCAATGGAAATTTCAGTAAGAGCAGAGTCAAGTCAGTGTTCAGAGCTCCTTAAAAATCTCATATCTCCTTGCACACTAGAGCCTACCTGGCAAAAGTACTTCGAGTTCATAAGCATTTTTTCATGTAATTCAAACTAAGTTCAAAAAGGAATTCAGAAAAGAGGTTTCTGACTGAACAAGGAGCCTTTGCTATATATGAAGGAATAAAGCTGCTTTATGTATGTCATGTATATGCCTGTGATGTATTTTTAATGAATAATTTTCTTTCTTCTCTTTCCAAGGCCAGATCTTAAAATGAATGTTTAAGTCCCTCCATTCAATTAAAAACCAGCTCCACATTGTGTTTCAGCAAATGCACAAACCCCTAAACTTTCATTCACATTTTTGTTCTTGCATTTTATTTCAACCAAGACATTGAATATATCCACTTATGGTGCAGATATGGAACAAGCTCTCCCTCTATACAGATATTGCAAGCTCCTAGATACCTGTTTTTCTGTGAGGATGACACGGCCAAGGAGCTGATCTTCCAGCCCTTTCATAGTAACAGTAAAGTCTATTACAGTTGTTCTTGCACTAATTTCTGGAGTATAGGCAGGATTAGCCAATTTTGTTGTCATATAAAGGGTAAACCCCTTCATCAGATCTACTTCCTTGTCACCTACTTTCACCTGAAAATAAAACATAATACTCAATTTTCAAAAGCTGAATTCAGAAAAACAGTTATTTTATCCAGTGAAAAATAGATTCATTCTTTTTTTACATTTTCATTTACACTTTTGAAACTTTCTGCCTAAGGGTTAAAAACAACCCCCAACCCCATGAATTCACTACTCGTCTTTTTAAGTGTTGCAAAGGTGTGAATCTTGTCAGTATCCAGACTACCAGATAACCAGCATCTGTCCTATTGTTTTTTAATTACATGTTCACAATTATTCTTACTTTGTGTGATGAACCAGATTTTATGAAATTTTTTTCCAAGATGTTATCTAGAGCAGGATCAAGTTCCTCTCCAACATCTTCAATTAACAAAGGTCGGCCAAGGGACAGGCAGTCTTCTATATGACTTCTGAAGAACTTGTGGTTCATAGCTGTAACCTAGGAAGATTGGTTCACAATATAGCATGTGTATTTGCAAGCACATAGAAAACCGTATAAAATCTATTGCAATTTTCAAAAATTATACATATCCTGGGACATCTACACAAATTATTACATTTTAGGGACCAACACTCGCCTCTGCTGAAATGAATGAAAGTTTCACTTTAAGCTTAACAGAATAGGAAATCACACTTCTTTATTGTTATCTATTTATTTGCTTATCTACATATCTATCTAATCACTGTACTATCCTAATACCTTTTAAATATTAATGGATTTATGCTCAGAACACTAATGTGAAGTAGGAAAATATTTACAGGATTCAGACAGAGAACCAGTGTTACATATGAGGTCTGGTCTTACATCAGATGTTGAATTTCCAATTCAGTTCCCATTTCACAATATAAAGTCTTAAAATAGCTAAAAATCATATAGACTCCTTTTCATTTATTTAAATTTAATAAATTTAACATAAGCCTTTGAGATGATAATTGAATAGCCTTTCCAGGCATCTGTTAAGCCATGGTTTTGGGGCGGGTTTTTTACCAGAAAAAAACTTAGGATAGACATTTTTTTAAAATACTTGTCTTGCACGCAGTGGTCTTTGAAAAAGGTATAATTAAAATATCTAGAGGCACATTACATAGTCTTAAAACAGTATATTATTTAAAAATTAATACTATGTTCCACCACTCCGCACTTTTATCTTTGTTATAACATAAGTATATGTGTATCCAACAAAAGAGCATGTTGCCTACATTTTTAGTCCATGTGAAACTGAAGGATGAAGTTAGTGTCTTAGTGACCAAAAATATAACACTAACAAGACCATAGCAAATCACAACATCCCAGATATAAAGGCATAATCTAAACACTTGGGTATTTAGAGTCTTGACATAACTCTGTTCCTGCTGGACTTTACAGGGGGACAACTTGGATTCTTCTAGCACAGCTGGCACCTGAGTCAGGATGCTTAAAAGCCCATAACTGACTGCATTTTCATCACAAAAGCTTCCTCTGCATTTAAAGGCTGCATCTGCATGTATTCAAAGCAGTGTAAGTTTAGAGAGTACTCATCAGTTCAGTAGTCAAGCCCCGTCAGGATTCACAAGTTTCGTAGGCTGGGTGTTCACACAAGGCAAGCCTGGTAGACATTTTTCTCTGGCTCATCAGTCAAATGTCATCATCACTTATAGTGTATGAATAGTGGGGAAAGAGGAAATGGTATTTTAATCTACATTTCCCAGTCCCTGATTTAGTGAGTATGTGGTAGAAGATCCTTACGCAATTACTGGACCAGATAATGGAACCTGTGTGTTCGTGGTCCCCTTCTATGGGCTGCACACCGGCACACGGCAAGAGCAGCCACCTGGAGGCAGGTAAGACAGACTCAGAGCCACTAAGGGAAGGAACTGAAGTTACAGCTTGGAGGACACTTACAAAGGATTGGGGAAAAGGCTACAGCATGGCAGAAAGAGTCAGTGTAGGTCCCTAACTGAAGGAGATTCACTGTTGCCGCTCCTGAGCCGAGCTTGGCAGCTCTCTGAAATCCCAAGCAGGAGATGCGAGTCTCAAAGGGGGTGGAATATGAGATACATCTTTCTCTCTATTGTTTCCTGTTGGTTACTCACACCGGCATTTCTTGATCCAATTTTTGGGGCCAAAGTAAGGTCTGTTGTAATTTAGAGGAAGCCATGTTATCTACTGTAAGAGTAGATTTCACACAGTCACAAAATGCCTAAATTCTTCTGTGAAGACAACTCATATGTTTTAGGAGAGCTTTTCATCATATTTTTAATATAGGCATCCATTTTCCCAAGATTTTTGAATATTATGCATTATTTTTCCATCTCTTCTCTGTCAATACTTCCCATTTCTAGCTCTGTTTCTACACCATTTTTTGAGCACATTCGACTTACCAGAAACTGGATTTGCTGTGGCATTGAATGTTGAGCCTTTCTTAACAGTGCTAGGGAATACAGATCTAGATCAAGCTCTAGAAGGCTAAGGATTTAGCTAATGACATCACCATGATGTCATCAGCTCTGTGGACATCACCTTCCTTACCTTCATTCTCAGTTTCTTTTTCTTATCCATCACTCTCATTTTGAGTGAAGATACTATACCATGGTATTCATGTGATAATCTACAATTGTAGGACTTGATTTATTAACAACTAACTCTTTAGTATCATCCTCTATCTGGCCTGAAAATATATCATGTGTTTAGATCTTTATCATAATCTACCTTATCCTTATTGGTGTAACAAAGCATGGAGGGTATGGGTGATTAGAAGGGAAAAAAAAAGAAAGTTTTAAATTAAATAGAAGACCCAGATCCCAAACAGGATGCACTGCTAGATACAAAATGAGAAGGGTAGATAAATTAAGCAATAAATATCTTTATCACATGCATTTAATCAAGAAGATGCAGCCTAAATTTGGGCTTTGTGTCTGATATGCCTCAAAGTTCACTAGATTTCCATTCTACTTCAGGCCACCATTCTTCTTCCAATTTCTCCTTCTTTTCCTCCTATTTTCCTCTCAAAATTCTTACCCTAAAATGTTATTGCCATGCAGCATCAAGTGCTTGATCCTGTCTGGTCTCAGTTTTGCAAGTCATTTGCTTCCCTCTACGTTTCTCTTTCTGTATGACAAGTAATTAAAAGATTCATCATAAAAATAGATATGGCATAACATGTAATTCCAATTTGCTCTTGAAACTGTCTTTCTGGGAGATGTCAAAGCAGTACAAGATAGGTACATCTTCATATATCCTGGTACTGATAGGTTACAGATTTTGCATCAGTCTTGTTTTAATTTCTGCCTAATTGTATACCATAAACATCAGATTTAAATTATACATGGCCAAAGTATGATGACAGAAAAAATAGTTTGCATTGCTAATTATGATGTGAAATGACACACACATAAAAAATATTAAATGAACTATTTACCTGAAGTCCATTATTATTTTCCTTATTTTTAATCCAGATCTTTCCTTGACCTTGTGGATCAATCAGCAAAGGATATCTAGATGCTTTTGTGACAATGATGCCATTCTGAATTGAAAGGTCATCATTCGGAAGACCCTGGAGGTTCCATTCACCCACTGTAGCATTGTCAACAAGCATACCAGTAAGGTTCAGATCCTAATAGAAAATGTGTAATTACAAAATTAGTACCAGTTAGATGAGTTATACTAAAATGTTTGATGGAAGGTTTTTCTTCTTATTCTGATCATAATGCATGGTAGAAAGTATTTGGCAGTTACTGTTTATTGTTTCCTTTCTTTCTTCCTTCCTCTTTCTGCCTAAATCACTGAAGCTGGGAAATAATGAAAGTGAATTCTGTTGAGGCTTTGATGTTCATCAAAGAGTGTCGGAGAAACTATGACACGAATTCAATATCTAATGACAAGCTAATTTTGGTATTGGCAAACTCTTTTCTTGCTAGCTCAAGAGGAAGGGTCATCTTGGTCACAAAATCTTCCTTCTGAAGTAAAGTTGTAAAGTGCCCTCCAAGTATGTGTATGAATATAGGATGGCTTGTGGGAGACTCAGAGAAGAAAGAGGAGATGTGCTACAGATCAATAACCATGAACTACCATGGGAAGCTATTGTTGCTATGGTCAGAACTCTTCCCAACTCATATTCTCCTAAAGTTTGGTTTGCACATATTGACTAATCTGCTTTATTTTATTCACTATGAACAGTGACTGGCCTCTCAAGAATGTGTATGTGTAGAAAACAGTGTTTAAAATCACAAACCAAGCTCTCTGAATTAGAAAAGTAGTTTAACAATTATGTGAGTTTAAAAAGAATAACATTTAAGGGCTTTTTTTAATTTGCTCCTTACAGTTTTCACTCAAGAATTCCTATTTATAAGCTTTCTCTACAAACATGTTTAAAAAGAAAGAAAAAGCCTGTGACTCCTGTGAAAGTCACATAATTCAGCATCTGAAGTCTAAAGCAAAATTTCAAACACTGTGAGACTTGTGATACAATCATGAGAGTTAGTGATACCAGTGGTTGCAAGACTCAAAAGCTTTTTTACCCCTTTGATTTTTTTACTACTCTGATTATTGAAGAATCTGAATGAATCAACACAAACTATTCTTAGAACACAGAGAAACTTTAAGAATCGATTTTCGTTTGTGAAAAAGACAGTAGAGCATTTAATAGACAAATTTTTCAGCAATTGGTATCTAAACCCGTATTTAGCTCCTTAAGCAGATGAGTAGGGTTTAAACAGTTTTGAATATTTTCTTACTGCAGGAAGTATCAGTCATTCTGCAACTCTGAAACTTAGCTAATTTAAGTGCCTAACTACACAGATAGACAGTTAATTTTAAAAAGCTCTCTTTAAATTGTTATGCCTAAATGACTCATGCACCCACTGCCAGTTAGTCTGTGACAAAGTAAGGCAGATGTCAAGCCTTTTGCTCGAACAGCAAAGCTGTTTTCTTTCCTGTGGTGTGAAGTATCAAGAGAAGCCCATATGCTGCCTTTTGTGAGTACTTAATTCACTGGAAAAAATTAAAACTCTCTTCCATAAACTATCATTGAAATCATAATACTGTCTTTAATGGCAACTATCTAAACAGAATGGTAGTTATGGTTTGAAACTCATTAATTGTGGCATTCTGTGTCTAGCCTGTTCATATGGAAAAAAAAAAGCAACACAAGAAACAATCAAATTTTGAAGGATGCAGCTGAGTAGTAATGTGGTCAGAATATCTTCATAGTTCTTTATGTCTTGCTTTCTACGTTATATATCCAAGTTCTTATCCTCACGTGGTAAGAATCTTGACAGATATTCCCCAAGGTAAAGTAGCTTTTAAGAACATTTTGTACGCTGAAGTTGAGAAAGAGCCTCCCTGGGATGAATGTATGTAAATACATTCCGGTACAGAATCTTGCCTGAGACTGCACTGCTACTGGTACAAATCCATCTTGGCCTTACATATTACCTATCATGAGGAGCTTTCAAAGACCTTTTCTGGGCAAGTCAGAATCGTTAATCTTTTTAAGTCATAGCATAAATTGGGCTGAGCCGTGAGGTTCACTCTCTCAGGTCAAGGTTAATCACTGTCACGAGAAGCATTACGCACCACCTTAACATTAAAAAAAAAAGAAGATTCACAAGTAACTTCTCTGAGATGAACAGCATGACAAACCTCTCACGGCAAAGAGGTCTCCCTAATACATGTTTTAAGTGTCAAATCCTCCAAGAACCTGCAAAGAAGATGCAGCAGGGACACTAACCTACCTTCAACTGTTTCAGTGTACAGCCAGAGCTGTACACAGGCTGTTCCCAGCAACTTTCCAGCAGCACCCGCTCTGTCAAAAGCTTTGACAGCAGAGGACAGGAACCATTTGAGCTTAATGCCTCCACCCCTGTACTGAGAGTAAGAGAGATTCCCTGAACTATTTCTCCAACCTTTACTGCTGGAGAATATGTATGCAGGTATTCACAAAACCAAGCGGAAGGTAACACGGACAGATTACTCAGACTTTTGATTATTATGGCCTAAATTCTGCTATCAGCATGAATATGTCTTCCAGGCGCAAGGAAGAATACCAGACAGACCTCCTAAAAATCATGCCATAGGAACAAGGCTGCTGCTGGCCACAGGCAAAGCCTATGCTCCAGAACAGCTGCCAGGTCCGGCACTCCTCAGGCAGATAGTGGTAAATGGAAAGGACAAGATTCATGTAAAGGAACCTGCCCTGCATCACAGTCCCAGTGTGCAGGCAGTATACGATGTGGCAGGGAACTGGAGATGAGATCCTAGCTCCACTGCATTTTAGGCCATCTCTGCCTGCACAGTCTTAGGCCAGTCGAGGAGTAGCCGTAATGTCAGGTTCACTGAGAATACCCTCACTGGTGACAAATGTACATGGATTTAAGAGCTTAAACGGGAGCAAGCTGAAGTGGTGTAAATCAAGCTTTAAAAAAATCCAGGTTTTGTTTAACTTAATCATGACAAGGGCTTATTAACTGATAATACACAGAGGTGCAGAGGTGGTATTTCCTGGTTCAAAATGTGCAATGGTCTTTTCTATAACGGGATGTAAGACTATTGTTATGTCAATCAAGAATTAATCAAGCTACACTAAAAATAGAAGTGTGAAGCTTTAAAAAGGAAAAAATTAGTTCCATTAGTTCCAGATATTTTCTAGCAAATCTAGATTATTAAAATGTTGTACTTAAGTAATCCTAAATGAAAATAATGGAAATATTTATCCCTAGACTAGTTTGTTGTATTAAAAATTTAATATTAAGAACAGTAGGTTAAAGAATTTATGATGTAATATCTCAGAAATACAAAATAGATGAAAAACCTTTCATTCAAATCCACCCTTTATATTCTAGATTTACAGTTCAGAGTGAAAAGTGGGTATCTATCTAGAGACACAGCAGATTTTTAGTGGCAGCACATGAGACTAGGTGGTAAAAGTGGAAATCAGGTAAACCTTGCTGGGTCCCTAGAAGTTGATTGGGGCATAACTCCAGCCCAGATGCCAGAGACCAATCTCCCTAACCTCTGTGCCATCCTGTGGGTCTAACTTGGGAGCTGCTGCTTCAAAGCCTGCCTGGAAAACTACAGGGCTACAGCAATACCAGATGTGGGGTGGTATTCCCAAAGACATATTCACAAGATATTGCTTGTAAGGGGATAACTTAAAATGTTGAGGGAGACAGTTACAACTGATGTTTTCTTCAATATACATATTTTCCACGTTCAGTAAATGCTAGATGTGGCTGATTTGCTTGACTTTATGACTGAAATTATGGACACAACATAGTATTTGCAAAAAACCATGGACTATGGGGGAAAACTGAAACTACTTGATGGAACCTCTTATGATAAGGTAAATCTATCCTAAGCTGGTAAATGTTACTTCGTTTCCCATATTATGCAATTTCCTTCCAGGGCAGCTGACCTCAGACAGCATCTCTCTCAGATTTGCCAGAGCAATGGCCTATATACCAATCTTGCAATGCATGACAGTATAAAGAGGATCTTAAAACATATTGTTTTAGAAGCTCAGTTGTCAACTGTTCAGACTTTTTATTAATTAAAAATTTGATTGAATGTGACAACCTGTATATCATTTTCCAATTATGTACTTTTCTGGAACGGAATGCTCTGCATATCATTTCTCTGCAAGGCAAAGAATAAGGTCAGGACAGAGTGTGAACACCTACATTATTGTATGGAATCTGGCTGTTGTCCATTTCTTTCTTCCACAACTGGAGCAGCAAATTCCTGTACTCCTGATTGAAAGGTCCAGAGTAAGAGAGAAATCCAGTGGCCAGAAGAACATTGCCCACTAAATTAATAGTTTGATTTTGAAAGTTTTTGCTGCTTGCTGTCCAACGGAGCTGTATGTAAAATATTATAAAAAGTTAGATTAAGCACACACAAAACTACCATGAAGATCTAATTTAAGAATTTATCTCTTTCTGGTAAATAATTGTTCTTCAAACCAGGAGTATTTTTGGCTTTAAAATAATTCTTTTCAGAAGTAGAAGTTTGCTTGGAAGAGACGGCAATCACCTGACAAAGTGGGGAAAAAGCATCTTTGCCAACAAGCTGGCCAAACTGGTGTAAGTGCTTTAAAGGAGGAACAAGGTGGAAGGGAGAGGTTGACCAACAATCATATGTGGAAGTGGAGGACTGGGTTGGCAAACAAAATGTGTGGGGTGATGTGGTTTAGCCCCAGGCGGCAACTAAGCACCACACAGCCGCTCATTCGCCTCCCCCCACCTGGGTGGGATGGGGGAGAGAATTGGGAAAAAAACCTCATGGGTTCAGATAAAAACAGTTTAGTAGGACAGCAAAGAGGAAATAATAATGATAGTAATAATAATAATATTACTGATAAAGGAATATACAAAACCAAGTGATGCACAATGCAACAATTGCTCATCACCTGGTGATCGACAGCCTGTCCCTGAGCAGTGATTCCCACCCTCCAGTGAACTCCAGTTTATATACTGAGCATGACATCATACGGTAGGGAACATCTACAACTATGTAGAAACAACTGAAAACATCAGTGCATTATCAGCATTATTCTCATACTAAATCCTGAACACAGCACTATACCAGCTATTAGGAAGAAAATTAACTCTATCCCAGCTGAATCCAGGACAGGTGGTATAAACAGTAGGGACCTTGTCATCAATAAAACAGGGCTAATGGAGAACCACTCCAAGCATATCCACATAAACAAAGAAGTGCCTACCAGACAGAACTATGCGGTTGGCTTTCATACTGTTTCTGGGAAATTAGCACAGCTGGACACCTCTCTGAAATGCTTGTACACTAATGTGCACAGCATGGAGAACAAACGAGGAATTAGAGGTCTGCATGTGGCTGCAGAGTCATGATGTCATGGGGATCATGGAAACATGGTGGGAAGGCTTCCACAACCGGAGTGCTGCAAGAGGTATATACAGGCTTGTTAGGAAGGATGGGCTGGGAAGGTGAGAAGGGGAGTTTTCCTTCATGTGAGAAAGCATCTGGAATGCATGGAGTTCTGCATCTAAGACTCTGGGATGGACAATGAGCCAGTTAAGAGTTTATTGGTTAGGATTAGAGGGCAGACCAACATGGGTGACATTGTGTGTGTCTGTTACAGACAGCGTGATTAGCAAGAAGTAGATGAGATCTTTTTCAGACAATAGGAAGAAACCTTGCATTCACAGGCCTTGGTCTACACAGGGGACTTTAACCACTCTGATAGCATCTGAAGGGAGAACATAGCAAGATACAAGCAATCCAAGAGGTTTTAAGGAGTGCACTGACAAAAAAGTCCTAACACAGGTAATTGAGGATCTAAAGAGGGAAGGCGGTTTCCTGAACCTCAAACTTGCAAACAAGAAAGAACTAGTCAGGGATGTAAAGACTGGGGACAGCCTTGGCTGAGAGAATTTAAATTGTTTAGCCTTGAAAAGAGACAGTACAGGGGGAATTTTATCAATGCATACAAATACCTGATGGGAGGTTATAAAGAAGATGGTGCAAGACTCTTTTCAGTGGTACTCAGTGAAAGGACAAAGGGCAATGGGCACAAATTGAAATATAAAAATTTCCAATTAAACACACAAAAAAACTTTTTTACAGTTTTTTTTTACAGAGTTGTCAAGGGCTGGAATAGGTTGCCAAGAGAGGTGGTGGAGTCTCCATCTTTGGATGATATTCAAAATCCAACTGGACAATTCCCTGAGCAACCTGCTCTATTTGACCTTGCTTTGAGCAGTGGGCGGCTGGGTTGGACGATTTGCAGAAGTCCTTTCCAATCTCAATTATTCCATGATTCTGTGATTTGCTGCATATTATTTTTGAGTTTTACTTATTCCTTTCTCTTCAGATTTCTGTTCCCTTCCAATCATTCTGAATGCAATCTTGGTCAGGTCCTACATGTTTTAAATTTAGCAAATACACATGTAACCCAGTGTCAGTTTCGCCCAAGGCTCCAAGTGCCATATATAGTATTTTAATTTTCTGCCTGAATATTCAAAAGTAGAATGGAAAAAAAGCTCCTACAAGACCTCATAGCACAAGGCTTCAGAAAACCCACAATAAGGCACTGTAACTTCCTATTTTGGTGTTGCCTTTAAATTTAGAAATTCACTGAAAAAATATCATAAAACATCTAACATTTTTGATGGATATATTTTGAAGTACAGCTATGCAAACAAATGCTGAAGTCCTGCCCTCACAGGACACAACGGTTGAAGTCAAAGCTTTCATTAATTTTGACTCTGTGTGAAATCAACCAAGGAATTATCAAAGCAAATAATCAGATGAGAAAAAAGAGTATCCTCCTTCCTCTGGAAACCTTCAGGCTGAAGACAGAAAAATCTTCATAGGAAAGGTAAATTTCAAGCTCAGTGCAGAGGATGACAATTAGCCCATAATTCTGTAAAAGGCTCCAGTAGACATCCGAACTTCAAATATAATTCAGGAAATTAGTCAAGCTTCAAATTCTTATTGTTGTATACTTGATGAGGAAAAAAAAAGAGTAATCCTTCTTATAAATATTTTAGGGCAATTATTTAGGTTAAGCCTAATTCCTCTTCTTACTAAAGCTAAAATTAATTTGGCTCCTTGGCTTTAAATCTGGACCTTATCCCAATATGAGCTGTATGATGTGTCATAAATCTACATACAGAAGAATTAAGCTAATACAAGAAAGTGTTTTACTTTGTTAGATACATTAAGTCTAAGCAAAAAACATACATATAACTAAAATAAAGTGTCATATGATATTGAAATGTCAACATGCCTTGAATTTCTTGACCACTACTAATGCACATTATGGAGTATTCTCAAAACTGAGCACCTACTCTGTGCTGGAAAGCTATTCATACATGCTAGTACCTTTTCTCCACCTAATCCTTCAATCAGAGCTGTGGCATTGTTCATCTTCCTTCTGCATGCCTCAGCATCATCAAGTAAGGCCTGCTTCTCTTTCATAGCAGTTTCATACATGGTTTGTACTTGATCCAGTTCCATTTGCTTCTCATCCAGCTGAATTTGTGCATTGTTCAGTTCCATTTGGGCAGCTGCAAGTCTTCCCTCTTGCAAGGCTAAGTTTGCCTACAAACATTTAAATGTAAAGAGTAGTTAATACCTATTATTTGCAAGAACAAATGACATTAATTTAGTGGCATATATTATACTGTATTGGATACTTTTAAAAATAATACATGCTTAAGATGACAGCAGGTTTTTTTCCTTTTTTACTTTTCAACCTAAAACAGGAACACAAGCAAAATGTTATTCAATGCAATCTTAAAATGTTTTAATAATCTTTTCAGAACAATCTATAGATCACACAGATCACACAATGATCAATGATTTGAAATCACAATATACTTGAAATAGCTGTATAGTAGATATATGAGGCAACCCATACAATATTTTCTGTAATATATGCTCAGCGCAAATGAAAATTAAGATTGTCCTCATGGATTATAAAATAATAATAATGATAACGGAAACTACTCTTCTCCTCTATTTTCCCATCAATTACTCCTACAATAAAAATATAACAAATTTTTTGCTCCTCTGGAAACTAAAACTCTAGAGACTTTTCTCACATGTCTATATAAATTGGAATTACAAGTTGCCAGTCATTTAAATGTGGCCTTTTAACTTGTATATTCCTAACAGGGGAAAAAATCCCATACTCTGTGAATTCAGAATGTGTTTCCAAATATATCTTTGCAAAGGATTAGAGACTGACAAAGTTCTTATGAAATTCACACTTACAGATAAAGCTTTCTTCCATTTACCCTGAATATTTAAAACACTTGTGTAAATATCAGGTATCTTATTTCTATTTTTTCTGCTATAAGAGTTATGAAGATGGAAACCAAGAATCTGTAAAACCTGTTCTATTACAAATATGAAACTTGACACAGTACATCACACTAGAATAGTAACAGTACATGGAATCTCTGGGATGATTCTTAGTAACCAGTATAACCATGGGTTGGGTTTTTACATTAGCTCTTGACTAGAAATATAGATATCATTCTTATAAAAATATGCTAAAATTAGCAAATTCTTCTTGCTTTGCATAGGAAAAAGCAAAACAAAAAACAGAGGAGCCAAGATCATATTTTGAGATCTAGGCATGATAAAAATGCAGCATGAAGTCTGGTGGATTTCAGAGGACAAGTCTATGATCAGGGAATTAGAGAAACATATATGTACTAATCAACAAAGTAGTACTGCTTTATGAGTTATACATCTAGAGAATAGCACTATCGGCAAAGATTTTTACTGTAGCCACTGTATCTCTTGACAGATCCTAGAGATAAACAAATATTTTATAATGGAGATAAGCCAGCAAAATGGCTGCTCTTAAAATTTTCGTCGGGTAAGAATGCTGCAATATTTTTAGTTTATCAAAAAAGCACATTAAACAGCATGTCCTAGAGACGAACACTGTTAAATCAGTGAGTCCTGTTAAGACCCAGCTAAGCAGATTTCAGAACTACTGCTGTTATTTTTTAGTGAATCTTGGACTATCAGGAAAAGCATAAACAGTAAAGGAGTTTTGAGTAGGTGATGTAGTGTTCCCATGTCCTGCACCTGAGGAGAGGTGGGGAGGGTGAGGTAAGAGAGCGAGAGGGAGACAGTGCAGGGCTCTTTCTGGATCTTAGTAAGAAAGGCCCGACAACAAACTGCTTTAAAAAGATCCATAATCAGAAGAGGAACATAGATAGTGAGTAAATCTTACACCCCTTCAGATGCTGGGCACCCCACATTCATGCAGCATCAGACAGAGCCTGGATAGATTTTCCCATGGCATGCTGCACAGAGTAGATCCTGTCCCTGGAGAGAAAACTCTCTATTTTGATTATTCAAGCTATTATAAACTCCTCTTATTATTCTGTCTTATTAAAGCAGTTACCTTATTAAGCCACATGTTGTTGGGCCTTTCTTACTGAGATCCAGAAAGAGCCCTGCACCAGCCCTCTCTTTCCTATCTCACCCCCGCCCCCACTTCCCCAGTGTAGAGCATCCTCTTATCCTTAAACTCTGTGAGGGCTAAAAATGGGAGTAAAACAAAGTTATGACATATTGTTTCACCCCCAGCTAACAAATAGTGAGGTTACACAGCGAACAAGATCTTTGGAGAGTTGGGAAGAGTAGCCTAGGCAGAACAGCTGGAACAACAGAGAACTTACACCTGGCTGTGTAGATTCATATTTCACCTTGACATTTATCACAGCAGGACATGAACCTCAATGGAAAAGGATGGCCATGTGAATGCCCAATATGTATGAGCAATGATGCCTTGTAAATATGAAAAACAGACCTCCATGAAGGAATAAACTACCCAGAAAGGTGCAGAAGACTAATAAAGCACACTTCCCAGTTCTTAAAAGCTCTTAAAAGGCTACCAGCTTTGAAGATATATGGACAATGAAAAAATATTTCAGATGACTATAAAGAAAAAATACATTGTATTCTAACATGAAAAAAATCCCCAAAATTATTTACACAAGACTTTACGGGATCTCTGGGAGATTATTTATAATAAGAAACTATTTTACAAGCAATTTAACTGAAGTTTTCAGCCAATTTTAGGGTAACATAACAAAGTAATAATACATTTTGGTATTAGTTTGATTTGTAGGCTGCTTAGCCATGTGTGATGAACAATGGTTGGTTGCAGAAGAACGACTGCTGACATACCAGGACGACCAACCTGTGTGATTCCCGAAGGCAGAAAGACTACTTGTTTCAGATTACCCTGTGAAATCATCACTATTTCCTCTCTCCCTGTGTTTTTAACTCCATTTTTCAAAATTACATGGGTACAAACACAGCTTTTGTATTGACATCACTGGCAGGCTGGCTGGCAGCATCGTGTGCAGAGCTTTGCCATGAGAGCAGGAGGCAAGTTCTGCTGCCAAGGAGAATCTTCTGCAAAAGAAAGCTATCACAGTTGTAAGCAACTTCATACAAAGATTTCCAGCCAATTACAAGCAGGAAGGAAATGTGTCTCCCAACCACAAAGAACCACTCTGGCCTTTCTAATTTTAGTTTCATTGCTCTGTGAACAAGTATCACACACTTCATTTCGTCTCTTGGAGTCACGCAGCAAAGCAAGGATTCACAATTTTTTCCAGTTGGATGCAGTGTGAAAGCCTGAATAAATGGATTTTATGTGAATGAATCATGAGGATTTGAGACATGATATCCACACTTATCTGCACTCCTGGAGAGGGGGGCTACACTAGAACATGCCTAGGCTCGCGTGAGAGCAGCAGCCTTCATCTTTTCTTGCCATTGGCATTGTGGGGAACCATACAATCCTCTCAACATCTGCTCCAGCCAGTGCCTCTACCTGCTCTCTGCATCTGTCTGCATGGGGCAAGTACAGAGACAGTACCTGTGCTGAGAAGGGCCACAGACTAAATTGTTAAGCAGCTATTTTGCCTTCTTCTGAGATGCCCTCAGAGAGGACTTCATAGTAGGTGGTGAGATGATCCTGCCATTTTAACCTTTTTGGATTCCACATAAAACCAGGACAAATAAACACATAATTACAGTCCATAGCTATACTGTTAAATTAAACATACCCAGGACCTTTCTCTGGCACTGAAGTTAACTAGGGTAAAGTAGCTCACATTAAGCTCTCCCAGCCTCTAAAACAGTACAGCTGCATGCAAACAGCCCCATGGAAACAGCCTCTGTAGCAAGCTAGTTCCTGAAAGGTACTCAGAGATTGCTGAGAAAATACTGCTTAACCAAGACCAAATTCACACTAGGGATCATTCTAACAATTTAACAGTGCAGATGATCACTTTCCAATGTCTAGAAAAATTCACAGAACCACAGAATCACAGAATCATTAAGCTTGGAAAGGACCTTCAAGATCATCAAGTCCAACCATTAACCCAACACCACCATGTCACCTAAACCATGTGCTGAAGCACCACATCCACACGTTTTTTGAATACTTCCAGTGATGGTGACTCCACCATCTCCCTGGACAGCCTGCTCCAATGCTTGACCACTCAGTAAAAAAATTTTTCCTAATATCCAGTCTAAACCTCCCCTGGTGCAACTTGAGGCCATTTCCTCTCATCCTATCACTAGTTACTTGGGAGAAGAGACCAACACCCACCTCACCACAACCCCCTTTCAGATAGTTGTAGAGAGCGATAAGGTCTCCCCTCAGCCTCCTCTTCTCCAGACTGAACAACCCCACTTCCCTCAGCTGCTCCTCATAAGACTTGTGCTCCAGACCCCTCACCATCTTCGTTGCCCTTCTCTGGACACACTCCAGCACCTCAGCATCCTTCTTGTAGTGAGGGGCATAAAACTGAACACAGTGTTCGAGGTGCGGCCTCACCAGCGCCAAGTACAGAGGCACGATCACTTCCCTACTCCTGCTGGCCACACTATTTCTGATACAAGCCAGGATGCTGTTGGTCTTCTTGGACACCTGGGCACACTGCTGGCTCACATTCAACTGGCTGTCAGCCAGCACCCCCAGGTTCTTTTCCGCCGGGCAGCTCTCCAGCCACTCCTCCCCAAGCCTGTAGCGTTGCATGGGGTTGTTGTGACCCAAGTGCAGGACCCGGCACTTTGTCTTATTAAACAGTTGACCTCAGGCCATTGAGCCAGCCTGTCCAGATCCTGTCCAATCCCTCTGCAGAGCCCTCCCACCCTGCAGCAGATCAACATTCCCACCCAACTTGGTGTCATCTGCAAACTTACTGAGGGATCACTCGATCCCCTCATCCAGGTCATCAATAAAGATACTGAACAAGACCAGCCCCAGAAACCGAGCCCTGGGGAACACCACTTCCCTAGTACTGTTTAATTTATTAGTATTGACATTCTTGTTGATTCATTGCAGACTTAATTTTGCAAAGCACCAAGTATATCTGGCCCACATTCAAGAATGCATTTAAATAAAGATGCCTTCTCCAATAAAAAACTCACACCATTTAATGCTATCCCCACTCTTGAATGGAATGCCCAGACCAACCCTAGATCACTCTGAAGAGCAGGTGTTGCTCAGTAAATTCAAGAAATGTTACTAGAAGTAGGAGAACCTGTAAGAAAAAAAGTGGCTGAAACTATAGTTCACCACAAGTAGGGAAGATTTGGAGCTTTCCTAGCATCTCTCTTGTTTCAGGAATTTTAGTTTTCCAGGTTCACTGTTCTTACAGTCCGTTGAGCATTCACTACTGCTGGACCAGGCCAGAAAGCTTCTTGCACTTGGACACTGTCACTCTGCTCATGAGCCTCTGTGGATGTGCTGTGTGACCACCTTTACCCTTTGCTTCAGTCCTGTCCTAGGCACATGGCATCTGACTGACAACTTTTCACAGAAATGAAATCTCAAGCTGCTCCTGTCCCAGATCACTGCAGATTTTTCACACAGATACTCCATTGGTTTTGTATCAACTTTCTCAGGGCCTCAGTATCATGATAAGTCTGGATTCATCGTTATTAAGGGAAACATTGTAAGAGAGGCAAACAGACAGAAGTTTTGCATACATTCCAAAACCAATGTTTTCACTTCACCAATCTAAAAAAAATTATACATATATACATATATATACAAATATACATATGCATACATGCAAACAGATCCATGCAGAGGGACATTAATAAAATCTTGGCCTCAATTTCTTGACTATCATTTACCATTCTTTGGGATTAAAAAAACCTTTGAAAGGCACAGAGAACATACCTCTTATCTGCTTTTCACAGCCTCTACTAGCTACTGAAAGATTCTCCATTTTTTCTGCTTAGTTACATGTCCTGACTTCATCTGATTCGTTAGGTGATCTAATCCTCCCCTTCACCCCTCAGAGTATATGCTTTGCTTCCAGAGATATTGTGGGCCTTGAATTCAGACTTGAATGCTTGTTTTCCTGCCAAGTGGGTATCACCTCGACAAAGACACACTTGTTTAAATGGATGACCATCAAATTTTGACACTCCTTGACTGTTACTTCTTCCTCAGGTGCAAGATTTCCTCTTATTGCCTGCTGTGGTTTTTAGTTCAGCATGGAGACAAGTGAAAGCAGAAAAGGACATAAAGTCTCATTTTTAAAACTGAGTTTGACAGGGAGAATCCTCAATATCAAACAGAATTTATAAACTGTAGACAAACTTCCCTTGATCACCATAACAGCCTAAGGAGAACTTAATTAAAATCACTGGAGACATCTCTAAGGGAAATTATACCCCTATACACAGTATTTTAATTGGAGGCTTACAGAATCACAGCAAAGCCAGGGCTTCTTCATTCTGCTGTTACATTCTTCAGCTAATGGGTAAATAGCAGATGGTGTTCCAGAATGATCAGGTTAATCCAGCAGGCTTGTTTACTAGGTAACAAGCTAGAGAGGAACAGCTCACGGTTGTGCTGAATGTTCGTAGGAAAGTAGCACACACATGGTGACCACTGTATGATAAGCAACTACACAGCACTGTATTTGCAGGCAGCATTTGGTCATACTTTCTGTGTTTGACTCTAACTAATGACCTTAGACCGCAGGCCACATATCTAAAGAATGTAGGTATCCATTTCTAGGAAGGAGTTAATTTTTGCACACTGTATTTACTGAAATATAAGTCACTATTAATTAGTTTTCACAGGTTGTCACATTCAAGATAAATGAGGCACTGAGTCTCAGTTAAGATACAATTAAAAAATATATTGGATGGATTTTGCAGGTGTTGAAGGGGATTTATCTCCTAGAACAGCAGTTAGGATAAAGCAGCTTGATTAATTCATTCAGTAAACCTGCTTTTAGCACTATATGATTTAGCCTGTGCTAGTACTTTACGCAGTTTAATTGTACATTTCTTTACAATTATTTTCTTAGCATCATTCCAGTGCTTCCTGCAATATCTCCTACATACTTTAAACACTTGCTCCTTCTGTCACCTTCAGTTTTAAAATATTTGTGGCTGTTGTTATACCTGACAACAGGCATGACTTTGCTGAGAAATGCATGTTCAGTTTTTTATCAGCTGCAGTGTGACAAGAATGTAAATACTTGAATACAAAGTTAAATCTATGCATAATTTTGTCATATATATTCAAATAAAAACTGCAAGATCACTTTTGCAGCTGTCAGAGTTGCATCTGCATATAAAGCCACTATTTCCCCTACGTCTTGCTCTCTTTTATTCCTCTTAATAGCCACATTTCAAATTCTGTTTTCATTAGTGAACATCCCATTATGTGAAAAGGGAATTGCTACTTATATATCACAGAAATATAGTCTTCTCTATCAGTTACTTGAATCAAAAATATCATGCTTTTAATGAATTTGAATCAGATCTGTCTAGATATACTAAAAGAATATGCCAAGAGTTTTGAATATACCATTGATACAGTGCCTTATACAATAGGAGACTGAACATAAGTAGAGTGGAAGCATAACCAACTGAATGTATTTATTCAGAAAAGAGCCATAAAATCCTCTGTAGAAGCAATGATTATAGATCACTATATATACAAATATTCAAAGTCCTTTTTTTTCAATATGCTCATAAATGAAGCACTTCAATAAAGTTCTCTGTAGGAATGTGGACAATGGTAGCTTATCCCTTTCTACTGTCGCTCAATGTTACAAAGAATTCTATACCAGGTGACTACTTACTTTACTATATAAACACTTCCATGTACAGCAGTTTGACACTCCAGAGTTTTCTTAGAGAGCTGAATTCCAGCTAAATTCATTAAAGAATACTTCTGAGCCAAGAACAGCCTCTCCTCTCCCAGATTCCACCAAGACCACAATGAGTATGCTCCTTCCCAGGCCAGTAGCACTGAGGAGAAGTTTACTTGGAATCATAGTGCCTGGCACCAAGTCCAAGAGCAGAGACAGTGTTGGTCTGTCCACCCCTGCAATGGTATCTCCCACTTGCAGATAGCCAGGCTCTATAGTGTACCTGTGTACTAAGGCTCCCAGTGAAAACTGAGTGTGTTCACACAAGTAACAACTGTACAACAGAGTAGCTGTGTAAGGGGAAAAAATTGCCAGGACATATTTAACCTCTGTGTGCTTGACTTCACAACTGGACATGATGAAACAAGAATCTCTTGTAACTCCTGATCTTTTTTAGCCAAAATCATGCAACATTTTTCCACTCAACTATAGTCATCGCTCAGAAATAAAATGAGTAATATGAAATACCTTAAGAGGAAGAACTTCTTTATTAATACCATAGAAGTATGCCATTGCTTGTGTCCATGAGCAAAGACCTGCTACATTTCCACACACTTTTTTAGCAGTCTCAAGATTATAATCCTCCATATCCAAATAAGGCTCTAAAAGCTCCACAGTTTCTCCTGTAATTGAGTCCTAGTCAATGGAAAGGAAAAATTGTTTTTTAAAATGGATTTTAGAATAAATTCTGCTTCACAGAAACATTTTTCTTTTTAGAAACATGGTGCTACCACTTCTTATAGAAGAAATTAATAGAACAACACTGTTGTCTTTCATTCTTATAAAGGACTGAAGATCAGTTGTTTTTTGTGAACTCAAGCGAAAATAGCTCCTACTTCCATTGCAACAGATTGACTTGAGTTTGTATTTAATATCCCTATTTGACCCATAAGATTTATCGACATTACTTGTTCTTGTAGGTCCATGACAACTTAAACTGATCTAAGCTATTGCTCTACAGCACTGTACCTTCTTTCCTCTCCCCCTCAACCAGACGTTCTTTCCCCGTCTTTAATACCATCACCAATGCTCAGTGAGCTAATTTGGAACCTAAGATGACAGAAATCTAAGTCAGCAAACTAGTGATTTGTTTTCTTCTAGGCTAGTTCACTGAACAAGGTCATCATGGCATCAGGCAGGCACCAGTGTCAACACAGCTAACGGAGGCCAACATGCAGCTTTAGGAAGGAAAAGGGTGAAACTGCAAGGCACTGACTTCAATTCACTGAAGCTAACTCTTTTCCTTAACTGTAAAAGAGAGTTCTTTCAGCTGTTCACTTCATTATTCTAATCTCAGATTTTTTCCCTGCATCACAATCTGTTGAGAACATGAAAAGCCAAATCTTTGATGATGGTGGTTAATTTATAATTATGTACGTGCCAGAAGAAAATGGAATTCATCTCCTTAAGCAATGTAGAAAGTAGAAGAGCTTACACAGGGTAACAATGGTTGCTTAACAATAGAGGCATTAAGAATCTTGCTTTTTTTGGCAATGTATTAATGCCTTTCTTTTAATGCATCTAAAAATCATCCTTCATTCATACTGTCAAGTAATATACCCTTTTCCTGCTTTTCTGCATAGCAGAAAGGACTGTCTTGTACTTGTCTGATCCCTAGCTACTATAATAACAAAGACACTAATTGCACTATTCCTAAGATCAGACATGGTGATGTTTTCACCATGAGCATTTGCCAAAATGTAAAACAGTGCTGGACAAACATCTTGGCTTTTTCATTCTCCTACTCAAATTTACAAGCTAGCAAGTTGGCAAAGGTGAAGCAAAGACCAATCATTGTTGGCTGAAATCTCTATTCACGAGCCTGAAAAATGTCATGCTTTTCCTTCTAAGTAATGAATTTTAAACCCAAGGAACTATTTCATCCAACTACTCTTCCTTGCCTAAAAACATTAGGAAAGAACAAAAATCTCACAAACAAGTAAGCAGTGTAGTCTACCCAGAACTCCAGAGATGATGAGCTTTCTTCTCATATATACTCAATCTTAGAAACAAGAAATGAGGCAGGAGTACAGCATGTGAAGTGCTTCATCAGGGACAGAAGTAGTCTAGTGTTCTTCACCACATTTAACAGTATCACTTCCTGCAAGGACTGAGTCCCACAGAGGTTGTTCTGACTCCTTCGAGCAAAGTTAAATGTGTTGCAAACTACCAGTGGGAACACATACACTTAATTAATAAGTGCCAAAACTGGAAGCCTCATTAGAGAGCAGCTTGCGTAAGGAGTGCATAATTAGTGCCCATTATCTTTAAACTCATTTCCTCTTTCTGTTTAGTAAAGATAGCACTTGGAAAAGTTACCAGATTGACAGCCCCAGGAAGAGATTGTCTACAGAGACAGTGCAAGTTTCCACATGGAGCCTTTTCAATATGGCTCACTGGGAGAAATGGCTCCTGGGGATAGTGAGAATCATGGTTTCAAGCCTCATCGGCACAACAGAAACACTCCAGTAGCTTAGAAAAGGCATCAGCAAAATGCACAGCTGAAGCAGATTAAAAAATAAGTATACAAATGCAAGAGTATGTTCTGCAACATTGCAGAAAACCCAAATTTAGCCAAAACCTGCTTGATTTTCTGGATTTTAAAGTTGAGCCATGATTCTGCCATTCCATATTCCAGCCTAGCTCTTTTTCTGGGCCAGCTACCTGTGACATCTTTCTTCTCTTCCCTGCAGAGAAATTTCCCTTGTCTCAGTTCAGTGAATCTTGGTGTAAACAGGACAAGTTTCTGTCCTGACACAAATAAAAGCCTATGTTTGCTTCTATTTTTCTTACAGTTGATACTAAGGTTCTCAGTTCATTCTGCATTTCCCTACTTTTCTAGTGAAAGAACCCCAAAAGTTCCCAAATACCTCAGTATTTTTCCTGACAGGATGCTCATTTTGTTCTGTATTTCCTCCTAGCTTCCCACTAAACAATTCTGGAAACAGAGTTCTAGAGCACCTTATATGCAAACAGGCCTGGTAGCAGTGGAGATAGTGAGCCATTTGAAAAATCCATAGCGAGTCCTTTTAAAGCAAATTCCTACTGAGAAGCAGGAATTGCCTGAATAAAGGTAACACTAAGCTTCTTAAGATTTTATCTAGTGCTTGGGATATTTGTGTCTGCCATCAAAAACTGTGTGGCCAAGGAGAAAGATTACTGAAATAATGAACCATGAAAATGGAGACGAATACAGTCACGAAGGTATCTACAACTGTCGGTACACAAAAGTCTCATCTGTTTCAAACTACCATTGAAGGTAGAAGACACTTTCATGTGATCTCTAAAGATAGTTATAGGACTAATAGTGCCACTATTAACTTCTTACCTTCTGGAAAGTAAGCAACATGCTAAGAAATCCTGAATTATTCATTAGCTTCAGAGCCTCAGTCCACGATGGCTTCACACATGGGCGTTCTTGATCAGGTGTTACTGAATCTATTTTCCTTTGGAATAAAAGTAGCACACAATCCATAATTCGCATTATCAAGTGAGGAGGTTTACCCAGTTTGCGAACAGTTGCAATGTCAGAAGGTTTTATCGTCTGAAAAATTAAAAAAGAAAATAATCCATTTATTTAAGCAACCACTTGATGGTAGAGAAAGACCTTTTTTGGGGAGGACTGTATATGTAACACAATTGCTGCAGTTTTGCAGGTATCTCAGAAGCAGTACTGCAGAAAGTCCTTAAAGAATAGTACCACTCAATGACTGCTTTATTATCTGACAGTAGAGAAGCTACTGCCCATCTTACCTCTCTACTGCCTCAGTTTTCAGGTTGTTTTTTCTTCTACAAGGATTAACAGGTTGGTGGTAGTCCTTTCAATATTTTTTTTTTTCAAGTCAGAAGCATAAGCCATTTTATTACACACAACAAACCTTAACTACATGCATGTTCAGAATATCTTTGATTCTGACCTGCAGGGCTGCCTCGGCTTCTTCCAATGCAGGTCTTGCAGCTTCAAGCTTCTCTTCTGCTGCTGCTTTATCAATGGCAATGTCATCCACAATGGCCTGAGCCTTGTCTTTTACCTTTTGCACCTGCATTTTCACCTTTTCGGCAGCTTGGGCTTTCATAGTTACTTCCAATAAGACTCCATCAGCTTTTTTTGAAGCTACAGCCAAATCCTTCTCCTTCATCACCAACTCTTTGGAGAGCTGATTTACTGAAATCTCAGCTTCCATCAATTTTGCAAGACCTGTGTTGAACAAATTCCATTTTAGCAACAGGAAGACCTATTGAGAGAGAAACCTCAGTGAAGCAATCTGGATATTTAACATAAGTCACTCAGATTCATATTTAGGAATCCCAGTGAGTGATCCCATTTGCTGAACACCAAAATTAAGCAGGGGTAATATCCATTTGTTATTTAATTTTTATTTTCTTTTTTTTTTTTTAAATGGGTAAGAGTCTTCAGAATTTGTTGCTTAATAGCTTGTTTATATTCTTATATATATGAGAGGGACACTAAATATTAAACACACATATTGAAAAGCATTAGTATTGTGAATGGCACTCTTAAGAATTATGTGTGCAGTTTCAGAAATCCATAAGAAGCACTAGACTGTACTCTCTGTACAAAACAAAGAGGAGGAACCTGGCATCCTGAGCAATGCAAGTGAAGACACAAGGAGACTAGGCTGAGCTTCTAAATTCAACACTACATGATGGTCCAGATGAGATGAGGTTAAAAGAAACTAAGGATTCTTGAGCAATACAATGCTCCAACATTTTTGTTGCTCATCAAACAATGAGCAAATCACCTAGAAAAGCTATAAGTATAAAAATCCCTACATATAAATGCATGTATCTAAATGTAAATGCATCATGTAAATCTTTCTAACCCCCCCAAAAAAGCTCATACATTCCTTCCAGGCACCCAGCCACTCTCTGCCTATAGAGATATGCGTACATAGCTCGGTTCTGCAATTAGCAACAGTGGGAGAATCACAGAATCATTAAGTTTGGAAAAGACCTCTCTGATCATCAAGTACAACCATCAACCCAACACCACCATGCCCACTAAACCATGTCCTGAAGTGCCACATCTATAACTTTTTTGAACACCTCCAGTGATGGTGACTCCACCACCTCCCCGGGCAGCCTGTTCCAATGCTTGACCACTCCCTCTGTAAAGAAATTTTTCCTCCTATCCAATCTAATCCTCCCCTGGCGCAACTTGAGGCCATTTCCTCTCGTCCTATCGCTAGTTATTTGGGAGAAGAGACCAACACCCACCTCACCACAACCCCCTTTCAGGTAGTTGTAGAGAGTCGTAAGAAACAGTTTAAGTTCACATTCACTTCCAAGCACCATTCAATTTTGGAAACTGCTTAATTGTTTACTGTGTATGACCTTGTGCAGTGAAATATATTGGAAATTTTACAGTTGGCATATAACTGTTTCTTTAAAAGATTCTTCAGAGGAACTGCATCCAAACATTTACTTACCTTCCCTCAGATTTACTTTTAGCATGTTTAAATATGAAAACTAGGATCTCGGTAGCAGCTTGGCATGCATAGATGTCAAAGCAGGAGTTTCAGGTATTTTAACTGTGAAATAATACTGTTTTCAAAACTCACATGCAATCTGCAACATTCATAACTTTCACTGAAGCAAAACCTCTGCCTATTTTGTAATCACACACAACACAGCTGAAAACATATGAATCTGCTTCCACATGAAAGTGAGCTCACAGTTTAAATCCATACTTTTACATTCTTTTACTCAGATTCTTCTCACCTTTTTAACAACAAACAAACAAAAATCAGACAGATTTTACAGTACCTGTTCTCACGCGTTCAGACAAACTTCCAACATTGTCAAATTTCTCTTTGTAAATAGCTTTGTAGCCTCCAATGAAGGACAGGTAAGATTTTGGAGTCACAAATGTTCGTCGCCTATATCGTTCGAAGTATTCAACACATTTTTCAGCTACAATATCTTGAAATGTTCCCATGGTGCTAATAACACTCTGTTTCACTTCATCTGTGCACTCAATATGGCAGGAAACTAAAAAATGCTGTGCAACTGCTACAAGAGCATCTTTAGGCCAGCGCTGGAACCAGTCCATGGTACAGCCTGAAATCAGACCTGGAAATTTGAGTGCACGAGTTCTGAATTTGTCCCCAACAGGAGAAAAACAAAGAACCACATGCAGGTTATTACGAACCCGAGCAAGAAAGTAATTATAAAGATTTTCACCAGTGGGAGTACGCCTTGGGTACTCCTTCTTCATTGCTGGTATCAGGTCTTGTGTGATTTCACTTATTTCATCTCGTGCAAAAAGACTTGAGACTTCACCTGAAGCCAAAACATTGTTCATATACTCCAGAAAAGATTCATCTCTGATTTCATTGTCTGTGAATATAAAGACAACGCCCTTCCCTTTTTGCCCAGCAGTGCGGTACAAGATTTTCAGATCATCCAAAAGGTTGTTGGTGGCGTATGTTCTGGGATAGAAAAGGATTAAAGAAAGAGAACAAAAATTACAGACCATTTTAGGAAATAGCTGTCATCTGGCTAAGCTTCCTCAATGCAAGAAAAAACCTACATCAGAAATTAATACCAAATCTCCTGGTTTCATTTTTTTAGGCTGTTTTTCTTAAACATTTTTCCAAAGTGAATTATCAGTACCATAAATCATGGGAAAAGAGGTGAAATCAACAGAAAAACATGCTGGAAAAAAGATGGTAAAAGCAATACTATGTCTAAGGTAATTATGATGCTGCTTTGCATCCTTATAGTTTGCAGATGCAAATTCTTTATTAGAACTGTAGGTTAATACAGCTGGATTAAGTTGTCAAGTAGGTTCTGATACCTGTAACCATTACGAGAATACAGCTGGATTATCTTTCAAAGATGTTGACAGTAGGTTAAAGGAAATCATTAAGAGACAAGAAAAAACAAAACTGAGGTTTTTATTGTGTTATTTGGTTTAACTGAAATCAGGCCCCAAAAATGAGGCTTGAACATTATCACTTGGGCTGATCAGCTGCTGCAAATGGAGACCATGACCGGTTCTTTCATTACGCCTCTTATTGCTGGTCAACACAAGTAAGATTCAGATGAAGTCCACACAAATTCAACTACAGATTTCAGAATATAGAATATAAAATGAAGTAAAGTGAGGTTAATAAAATGGCAGATCTTTCCCATTATGTTCTTAGCTAATTAAAGCTGAAATTAGGAACCTCTTTTCTTTGAAACCAGTTTCTTATTTCAAATAATCTCTTCAAAGTCATAAGTAATACTTGCAATACATACATGATCCATTCTTCAGTATTTGAAAACAATACTCTATTTTTATATTAAATATGTCACACAGAAAGTCTCCAAGTTCTCTTCCAGCTCCATTGTACCACTGCTCTAAAAATACCCCTAATGCAAGCACTGCAGAACTTGCAAAACAATCTACCTCTTCCATTTGCATGTGTCAGCTACAGTTATTACAGTGCTTTGTGGTATTCCGATAAGAACGTCAAAATTTCTCTACTGAGTCAGAATAGCAGTCCATCTATCTCAATACTCTTTAACACCAGCAATGGGAAATGCTACTTAGAGAGAAAACATGAGCCAGCATCCACTCTTCACTGCTCATTTCTTTCCTCCTCCCTCCATATTCATAGTGATTGTATTAGGATTGTTGGAAGGTATGTCCATCTTGTCCTCCTGGTATCCGTTTATGAACCTGCTGATGTTGTCTTCCTCCACAGCCCCCTGTGGCAAGTTACAAAAGATGACTATGTGTGTTGTAAACACACACTTTCAGCTACCTGCTTTTAACCCACCTCCACTTAGCTTCAGCAAATGAATATTTCCTAAGTGACTGAAATATTTATTTGCCTTATTAATGCATTTTGAATCTTGCAGGTCAAGGGACCTTATTCTGTGACTCTACACTTTTTTCTTTCCCTCCTTTTTTTCTTCCCACTGTTCCTTCCTTCTGCTTCTGAGACACAGGAAGAGGCTGTGATATGTCTGTCTTTCTTTTTCCTTTCATCAGAAACCTCATAACATTGTTCAAAGGCCTGATATGTCTCTTTAAGGAGGATTTCTCAGTGTGTTGAGTAGTTTGCAGAGTGAAATACATGCTGCCAGCTCTCAGTGCTTAGCCCCGTAAATCCTATGTCAAAAGTGAAACAGATGGAAGGCAATAGTTACTCCCAGTCACCTCAAACTTCTACAGACTACTAAATTCCAGCACTATGAACTATTATGTCATTGGTAGCAGTTGTAATAATACAGTATGCGTACATAAGCACCTATAGAAAAAATTACTATTTGCCGTGGCCATCAGCATTTGCCCACTATGCAGCATACACCAGCAAATAATTCTATGTTATCTTTAGTGCAAAATGGTATTTTAATTGTATTTCACAAGGATGCACTGCAGACTCAAATGCTGAAGGAAGGACAGGTTTCTTGTCAATAGTATAAAGGCAGCAAAACAAAGACCCAGGATCTGTCATCTACAGACTGTGCATTTGCACAGATGCTTTTGATCAAAAATGTACAATGAGGGATAAAACGCCTGACAGGTTTGCATTTCTCTAAGTTGACCGTGAGACATTAATTTATAGGGCAAATTAAGGAGCAAACATCTATGTGCACTGCATTGTGTTACCTTGTTAAAGTAATCTGAAAGCTCTCATATCCGGCAATATATGATGCTAGTCTGGTCAGACTTTGTTTTCCTGATCCACCCACACCCACCAATAATGCATTTCCATGTGGAGTACGAATAATCCGTGATATTTTAATCAAATGGATGATTGCATCCTGTGTATTGAGAGAAAAAGGGATGAAAAGATGTAAAGATAATACAATGGATATTCAACTAGAAGCACATCACCAAGCATCTGCTTTTCAACAGCTAGATGACTTCTCTGGAGCCTACTCCAAAGACTCGGTCCTGTGCTCATCAAAATCAACAAGAGATTTCCCCCTGACTTCAATGGGCAGCAGGGATAGCCCAAGAGAAATGTCCTTGTACCAAGCTCATATGAAGCAAAGTCATATGCAGTGTTTGTAGCCGGCAGAGCTGAGGACATGCTCCTTAGAAGACAGAAGGAAAAGTAGAAAGGATGTGGATTAACACCCTCCCCCAAATTTTTGCTGAGGTATTTACAGGCTCTCTAAATAGGCTGCCAAAAGTAAAATACAAGTACACCATAGAGATTCCTTATTCAACTGTTATTGAATAAGAATTAATCCAAAATGCCCTAGAAGTCTACAAAATCACCCAGTCTGAAGCTGAAGAAAGCATCATGCATCAAGAGATCTTTGAGAAGGAGGTAACTTTCAGAGATGCAAGATGACATTCACAATGTGCATTGTGGAAACAAATTAGTTGCGCTTTGCAGTATGCAAGGCAGGAGAAGGAAAAGATGGGGAACTGCAAAGAGATGGAATAATTTGTGGGAGCAAAGGCAGCCGGAAGACAGCAGCATGGCTTTATAGAGTTTATTTGTTAAGGTTTATTGAATACAGGGCTAGCCATTCTGAGCTATCTCCAACATAATTTGATAGAAACATACAAGATCCATGTATCAGTAAGTGCAAAAGACCAGGCACTTTTCTGTATTAATATAATTACAGGCACTAATACCTTGAAAAATACTAAATCCATCTTTGATCCTCTGATGGTTTCATTGTACTGTTGCATGAACATCTGTAATCTTTCAGTCAAATAATCCAAAGATGGGATAGGCTCATAAATTTTAGGAGCCTTCAACTCTGCATCATCAAGTTCATCTCCAGTAGCTTCTGGGACATCATGCAAGAAATCCACAAAGTATAATTCTGTGGATTTATCTTCAAATAGATTTTGACCATGTTCTGCAGAAGCAATCTACAACAATACATTAAGGATTTCTTTAGTAATGAAACAATTCATTGGCCTCTTTCTGTGGCAAATACTGGAACACTATTTGCCTACCTTTTTCATCATATCTTCAAACCAGTCTTTATCACTTTGGCTGATGAACCTGTCTGCAATAACACGTCTGCATTCATGCTGGAACAAGGCTACCAAAACACTGATGCTCTGGCAGACTTCAGAAGTAACTGTAAGTATTCCTTGCCAAATACGACTGAGGTCTCGTAAATTAAAGATGTAATGAAATTTAGCTGGAGTTGGTAACATCTACAAAATAATATCATAAGCTACATTCAAATAACTACTAAATAATGTTTTCTATCTAGTATTAAATGAATATGTAATTTTTCACGATCTTCAAAATCAATATTGCATTAAAGCAGAAAGATATGCTTGGCTTTTAAGAGGCAATGGTAAAAATGAAGAAATTACAGTAGCAATGGCCAGCTCTTTAATTTCACATAGATTTCGCTCAGGTTTCTTCGAATCTGTCAAGTCCCAGGAACATGCACTGAAGGGTAGCCAAATCAGGTTAGTTAACAATGGCACAGAAGGCCACAGTAAAAATGTCAGCATTGTTTAACCTGTGGTGCTGCTCCTGTCCTTTCTTCCAGATCATTTCTGTCACTCTCTTTTGTCCTTTTCAAGAACATGTGAGGAAAAGTTCATGAGGAAAAGGAAAAGTAGGTAAGGAAAAGCAAAGCAAAGAGAGCAGAAAAATTAGAAGATTTGAAAAAATTAACATCTTAGCAAAAGCTACTTTTTCTCTATAGGCAGTTAATTAGCAGTAATAAGCACCATTTCTGTTGAATATACCGGTCAATAGTTAACTGGTCAATAGTTTCACAAGAATGTTCTCTATTTCCCTGTGCAAGCCAAGTTTATGTCTATAGTTGAGTTGTTTGGGAAACTCTGACCAACATTTTCTGGACTAGGTAATATTATTTAACAAAGCCCTGCCTATTCCTATCTTTCCACCATTCTCCTCCACTTTTTTCATTAAAAGATCAAATTTTGCCCACATGTCTATGCTGTAATTTTACTTTTAACTCTTCAAATATCATTCTACGCATAAATTTTATTTTCTATTTCAAAGCAACATTTGCTTAGGAATTGCAGTTAAATGTTTTTACAATCTGTTTGAAATGGAAGAAGTAAATATTTAGAATTTACTAAATACCAGATTTCATTTGTTTTGAACTGATTTCCTCTCCATCAAATTTGACTTCTTTCCTTTAATTCAGATCTTTAAAGTTTCTCATAATCCCAAATATCTTTACAGAATATTCCTGTCTAATTTTTAATTTAAGGTTCTTTATGCCCTTGACATTTTCTCAACCAGAAAACCTTTAAATCTTCCTATCAGCTATGCTTACTATATTATACTCACATAATGTAATTCTTATATTAGCTATAGAAGGCACTGCATATGATTATGTTTTTAAGTCGGCTAACTAGGTGCTGATAGCAACAAATTCAGAACAGAGGCATCAGCCAGCAGTTATACATATAGGTCAGAGTTTCACAATATGAAGCATAAACAGACATGACAGTTCAAAAGACGTGGGTCTTGTTGCTTTGTCATGGTACAGATGTTTCAAAGGCATACCCTATCATGGTACAGATGTACCCTATCATGGTACATATGTTTCAAAATTACCTCAAAGAGAGGTAATCTTACCTTTGCTTTTGTCATTTGCCAAACCTTTCGAGTTGTAGATACTAATGCTGAAGCCAGTTTACATATCTCTGCAGGGAAATGTCGTTGTTCACAGAAATAGCCTTCAGCTATTGTTCGAAATATTTTGTCAATAGAGGAACTGGAAGGCAGAGTGCAGTTGTAGATGGTGAACTGGCGTTTTAGGCGCTGTGGGATGTCGTTCCGACCTCCCCCAGGGTGAATCATAGCAGCTACAAACTGGATATCAACCACATTCGTAAATTCTCCTGGCTTCTCCAAATTGTAGAAACCTTTCTGTTCCATCAGCTGTCTTACAATCTCATTGGTGATCTAGTTATCGCCAAAAAAAAAGAAATGTAGCAGTTAAGTGTTTAAGGGTTCTTGACTTAAAAAAAGGAAAGAGGAAATCCCCAGGAAAATAAATTAGTAGACAGAAGGAAAGACATCTCTTATCTTTCTTAATTTCAGGTATTCTGCTGGACACTTCAGCAACTTATAAAGCCATGCAACATGGTATCAAGCACCCTGATGCAGTGGATTGGCTGCATGTAAGCTTCACATGCTAAGTAGTTCTGGACATGACGTCATTCAACTGGATTTCCATAATATCAATCTAAGAAAATTCAGCACTTTAAAGTTTCAAGCCAGATTATGTTTTCAGATTGACACAGGCACCTAGTGACAAAGAATGTTAGGCTAGCACAAAGTATAGTCACACATTCGCTTGCACAGAGGCAGTTACAGAACAGCATTACAGAGCTATACTGGAAGCAGGAGATTTTTTTTTCAGCAGTAGGGTTTTTTTTATTTTAAGCCAGATTTTCAGAGTATAGGTCTATAAGTATTCATTTATCAATACCTCAAGACATCTTGCTAGCCTTGGATGTCAGCTGTGATGTTCGATTTCACCTAATAATAACTGTACTTTAAAGTCCAGAGCGATGGAAGAAGGAAAGAGTCTCTGATTGTTTCTTGGGTTTGCATGCTTCCTTTCCCACATTGGTTCTTAGTACAGCTAGTTTGGAAATTCTGCAAGCTCTGGATGTAACCAAAACAAAAGGCTTAAAAGCTACAATGATTGCACCAAGTGGCTTGATGTTAATCCTAATCCTAATCTTTTGGGACTGACATCTTATTATTCTTGGCAACAACTGGCTTGGGGAAATTGCTTTTAGTAGACATACTTGGTCTAGTCCATATCACGATACCTTTTTCCAAAAGTTTCTTATTTTTGCAACCCACAGATCAGCATTTCCATCATCAGCAATGGTAAGACCACCAATTGCCAAATGTTAACATTTTCCTTTTACCTGATCACCCCATTCATTAATCACAGGCATGTTGATGTCATCAATGAAGACAGTCATTTTCTTCCCAGCTGGAGGACCGTATGTGGTGCCCATTCTTTTATCTATGTAACTTTCTATGCTTCTTTGGAACATATTTGGCAGAGTTGCAGAAGAAAAGTTTAGGCGTTTGGTCAAGTGAACGTCAGGGTCATACTTGCATGTGTAATCCTGCAAGATAAACCAATTTTAAGTAAAGTGCACCAGTAACTCCAGATGAATTCAGCCAAAAGGAGATGCAGATGCTCAGCAGCCCTGCAAAAATCAAACATCTACAAAATCTCAGTCCTACTATTAACTTCAAAATGTCAAACAGCAGTTTATTTAAGACAAATATACCCTTTCCAACCTAAAATTCATACAAATTCTTAGTTACTGTTTTGCATAAAATTTCCAAGTATTAAAATTTATAATCTTTTAACAGGCTTCACTAAGTGTTACAACAAGTAGACATGTGACAACTCAGGATGCAAATAAACTTTGCATTAGCAATTGTCAGGGTTTTTCTAAATTCAAGCTGTTAGTGATGATCTACCACAGCAGCCTGCAAGGAATAAGTGAAAAACTAAATCCTTTTTCACATTTACACTATAGCACCATATCTTACAACAAAAGCAGTGTAAAGGAACAGTAGTGTAAAATTAAACCCAGCTACATTACATTTACTGATAGTTATCCTCTCTTAATGAAGAAAGGAATCCTTGGGTTTTATGAATGCATACAATTCACACAGCTGCTGCTGATGCCCTAAAGCAACAAAGTTCCACTTTTTGTATTTAGTGAGGTTTTATAATAGAACCGGAAAGAAAAAGATGTAACCTTGGAGTCACACCAAGGCATACATATAAAGCACGGGAAATACTTTGTTTAGCAAGAGTCCTGGGACATAAAAATAGTATTAAAAATTACAGATTTCCAACATTATTTCTTTTTAAAGATTCAATTCTTCTGCAATGCTGACAAAGGTGAGTACCATTTAGATTCTTATCTTTATAACAGGGTTGACTAGAAATGTTCCCATTATGGTGCCTCAGAAAAATAAACTTATATCATTGCTGATTAAGTGCTCTAAGAACAACTCTGTGAGACAACAGAACGGAAGATACAGCTAAGCCCTCTCCAAATATTTCGATGAATATTGTTAAGCTGTTAATTTTGTTGATACAATGTTAATACAATGATCTCAGTTTAAGAAAAGGTGCCTTTCAGAAACAGGTTTTTCTCAGTCATCACACAAATGACAGTCTACACATGCACTGTATACGCAACGGTCCTGTATTTGACGTCTTGACAGTTGATGGGTTGGTGCAGGTCACTGCTCAGACTTCTCCTTGGGCTCCAACAGTTTGTACAAAACTAATGTACTGGGTGCAGGTGCCCAGATGCTGGCAGCGGGGGCTGGGGACAGCCCCTCATGAGAAGAGGACAGGGCTTCCCCATGCCAGCCACAGCTCCAACAGACCCAATGGAGCCACTCAGCCTGTGTATGAAAGGGCAAAATGCTGCCTTGCAGTTGAGAAAGACAAGTGAGAAAAAATGTGAGAGAAACAGCCCTTTAGACACCAAGGTGAGAGTAGAAAGAAGGGCAGGAGGTGCTCCAGGACAGATTCCCCTGCAGCCCATGGAGAAGACCATCGTGAAGCAGGTTGTCCCCCTGCAGCCCATGGAGGTCCCCACACCGCAGCAGATGGATGTGCTCTGAAGGAAGCTGTGGCACACTGAGAGCCCACGTCAGAGCAGGCTCCTGGCAGGAGCTGAGGCCTGTGGAGAGGAGCCAACGCAAAAGCAGGTTTTCTGGCAGGACTTGTGACCCCGTGTGGGACCCACAGTGGAGCAGTCTGCTCCTGAAGGATTGCACCCCATGGAAAGGAAGCATGCTGGAGCAGTTCATGAAGAACTGCAGCGATGGTAAGGACCTGCACTGGAGCAGTTTGTGAAGGACTGTATCCTGTGGAAAGGACCCCGTGTGGGAGTAGGGAGCAGCATCAGGAGGAAGGAGAGGCAGAGAAGAGCTGCTATGGACTGACTGCAGCCCCCATTCCCCATCTACTTGTGCTTCTCAGGCGGGGAGGACGTAGAGGAGTCAGGGATGAAGGAGTGAAGGTGACCCTGGGAAGAAAGTGAGCCTGGGAAGATGAGAGGGGTAGGGGGAGGGTGTTTTTAGTATTGTCTTTGTTTTTCACCATCCTATTATATTTTTAATTAGCAATAAATTAAATTAATTTTCCCCAAGTCAAATCTGTCTTGCCTATGATAATTGGTGAGTGATCCCCCTGTCCTTACCTCAACCCCTGTCCTGTTGAGGAAGGAGAGGGAACCAGTGGCTGGGTGGGGTCTTGCAGCTGGCCAAGGTCGACCCATCACAACTATCAATACACAATCATTCAAAAAACACTTTTGTGTTTTATTCATATGGCATTTCAGAATCTTTACATGGTTACAGTAATATTCCATAGCACATAAATGAGAACTATCTTTGAAAAAGAAGAGGTTATTTGATGGGATTATTTTTGTTAGTTAAACTGTCAGAGAATTTTCAACTCTACCATCCCAAGTTTCACATTAAATTCTGGATTTTTTGCAATTCATGAATTAATAGTAGAGAGAGTAAAGGTCTTAAATAACACTCCATTATAAGTTCTTTATTTTGTTATATACTGATGCCTTACTCAATGCTGAAGATCACTTCAGATTAATTCAGATTACTACCTGAAGTGTTCTATATTAAAACCATTTTACCTTTTCATGAAACCAGCTCCTTCTATCTGGGAATTTCTTTTCCACAAAATGTAGTAAAGCAAAATTCTACAGAAGGTGAAAGCAGAAGTGGAACAGTTGTGAAGGCGGTTGACTTTCACTCCTAACCTTAAATGAGATCAAACACCTACCGGCATTATGCTCCCGTGTGCAAGGAACATACTCTCCTCTATAGAATAGGCACGGGGTAAGCAACTCACAAGAATCAGCTCCAACTATTTTTAGGGACAGGAATGGCAGCTGAAAGCTGGAGATTGCCAGTATCTGGCCAAAATCCAGTATGCAGAATATCAAGACCACCACCCAGACCCCGCCTCTTCACTCTGCTAAAATAGTTCTCCAGCTGGTGCCAGGAACAGAAGTTGACATTACACCGGCATGCATGTTGGCATCAACAGCTAAGCTGAAAAAGTAGTATTAACGGCTGCTGGCACTGGTACAACTTGTTTTATGTCAGGGCTCAGAAAGCACATGGCCACAGGACACAAAAAGGCTCCAGAATTTAAGAAAGCCAAAGGTCAATTTAGGCCAGTGTTTTTCAGTTACTTTCAGTTTTAAAACCTCTGCAAATCCTCCAGTGGAGGTACAGATGTACAGCAAATTCAGCTGTCCCAACAGTAGATCAGTTTTATTAGCTACCTCTCATTGATCAAAGAGTCTACAGCTTCCCTTGGAAATTGCAGACACCATGCTGAAAACCATGACACTTGCATTTTTTCAAACAAGCGATGCTGAGTTTGGTATGCCATCTGGGTTTGTTCAGCCTTTTGATTATTGGTCTTCTGCAGTAAGTTATTAATTTTTTAAGTGTCATATGATTAACCTGCACCATTTTATAATATGGAAAGCATGTATTTGTTAATTTAATAGTAATCCTGTTATTATTTTCTTCTGGAGAAAGACCAATACGCCATTTTCGGTGAAGGAATTAAGAGAGCAGATAGTAAATGCTAAATTTACTCTCTGAAAAATCACCCTGAGTAAAGAAGGCAGTTCTTTATTTCTCTTCAGTTTGGCTTGTGAAGAAAGTCTGTGCAACAAGGGTGTACAAAAGATCAATTCACACACGGCACCAGAGATAAAGCACCGGGAAATAAAAAATCCTGCAAGTATCAGTATTTTCTTAGAAAATTCTCCGGTATGACTCCTCAAAGGAAAAGAAAGCATATGAAAGACTGTTTATAAATGACTTTGTGGCCACGGTTAGCAAAGTTTAAAAGAACCCTTTATACTGAAACATAGATACTTACGGTTTTTTGGTTGTAGGCCATGCTAGTACTGGCAAAAGCCTCAGTAAGAATGCTAGCATGTGATGTGAAGAAAAATCAAATTACTCTTACACTTCAATTTAACATTTGTGCAAATGTCAATTAGTGCAATGTTATCACACAAAGATATCACATGTTTTTCCATTCCACCTACCTTAATCATAATTGTTTTTGCTGTTCCCTGTTCCCCAATTAGCAGAACAGCTTTTCCTTGCCTCATGATAGTGTGCATTAGAAAGTATGTTCGGACACTGTCTACATTTGGAACTAGAATGGAAGTATATTCTGGTACTGAATCTTTAGGGTAAATATATTCAGGGACCTGCATATGAAAGACACGTGAAAAGTTTGAGACTTTATACAATACAATTACTTTGGATCAGAACACAAAACCAAATGTACTTTATAAAATGTACCTTAGCAAAACTTTTCCTCCTGAAAGCCAAGCATCCATTTATAATCAATCAGTACCTTGCCAAGCTTTTGAATATTTCCAGGGATGGGGCATCTACCACCTCTCTGATGGTACCCTTTTCTAAGAGGGTCTTAGACTAAGGGGATATTTTCACTTCGCTATTCTCCGTTACATAAAGAATGCTTTTCCTGGCTGGGTGTTCTTACATAGTGGGGCAATAGACAGTAGACAAAGCTAAGATCTCTTCAGTTTCATTTCCAAAGTTATTTCTAATGCATGCTCCTATTCTCTGCCAAATATATTTATGGAGAAAAGAAAAAAAATCTTTCAAAAAAGAAACTCTTGAGCATTTTGTAGAGTTAATCTTCCTAATCAAATTATGCAGGATTTTGAAGAATAAAATAATATGATTTTTACCAAATACATCTTTCTTGTATACTCATTAAGAAAGCTTAGCATGTCGCAGCATACAAACCTTCTTTGACCAGTGCTCCCACTGGCCACAGGCATTGATACCAAATTCAAACATGGTTTCTTCTCCATTCACAACTGGAAGTTCTTTCACTGCAGAGTGCTTCCGTAGGAACAACTCCATTTTCAGCCTGTCATCTGGTTCCAAAAGAGCTCCAGCTGACCACATTACAGCAAAAATGAACAAGCGAGCAACATGTTCCTCACTGAGCTGCTTCTCATCTCTGTCGGACAATAAACCCTGCAAAGCAGATGCAATATGTAACTACTGCCCTCCTAAAACAATGTCCCAGCACAAGTTACACAACGAGAGAGAGCAAAACTGAATGTCATATCTACCTGTAGGAGGTCAATAGCTTGTTTGATGTACATACATTCTAAAATTATCATTTTTGGTGTCACAGCAGAGAAAACAAAATCTATCACATCCTGGAAAGGAAAAACATCATTTAAGGAATCTGTATACCAGTTTCAATGGTATGATTTATTCTTAGATGAGAACAATTTCTTAATTTAAAATATAGTCTAAACTTTATTCCAAAGAACTTTTTTCCCCATTTCTGGGATTATACGTATTCAGACTTAGATCATGAAATTTTGCTAACAATAACATATTAGAAAAATAACTTTGATGTATGACAGTCAGCAGATTTATTCATATGATCTCCATACAGCAATTTTCTGAAGAGCAATTTGAAGAAGGCTTTTTAGTTACATCAGGTATCTGCCACTTGTGCCCTCAACTAGAGATTTTAATCTACCATTGCTATTTTTGTAGTAGGAAGAGAAAAGCACTAGAATTGCTGTAACAATGCATATATAATGCACAACCTCACCACTATAAATTTCTGTGAATATCTGATCTGTTCTGACTGCACCATAATGTACCTGTCCCTCTTGAAACCAATACTCTCTTTTTTTGTGGAACCCTGGCAGGATCCAAAGTGAATTTTGCAATTGATTTTAATGGAACCTGGACTTTCCTCAGTTTACTCCACAGTGATGGCTACCATGCCTGCCTTTGCCAAGTGTTCTGCGACATCTTTAGCATTTCAACTTGGTGTAAAGTCCTCTCTGAGATTTACAGTGCAGAATTATTTTAAAATAACAACTGCCATCCATAGTACACACTAATGTAAATTATAACCTACTTTCACCTTCATTTAACAATTTTTAATATAATTCCCTCCCTATGGGTTCCATTTACCTTCATAATCTTTGGAAATCAACACTGCCTACTCATTCTGGGAAGTAAAAATACAAGAGGGACAATATAGGAGATAGTAATTTGGGAGGATTTCCATTTATGTCTCCCATGTCCTGTCAGTGAGAAAACTAAGACAATGAAGACATTCAATCACCCAAAGATGAAACCAGTCACCTAGATATTTTTGAAAAATCAGTGAGCTGCTTACCCACATACTCACCGACTTTGTTCCAAATTTTAGTTTACTTTTTTTGCCACTAAAGTTCTCTAAGTACCTTATGCTGAGTATTTATTGGCGCAGAGACAGAATCAAGATTTTTACCCATCCTCCTGAGTTCCATCTCACTAGAATAGTGCGTAACACAGACAACAAAGATATGTATTATGAGAAAAAACTCATCTTAATCTAGAATAGGTCTCATGGCTAAGACTGAGAAAGAAAACAGTTTGAATGGAAGCATACATAGGAGGAGGGAGGCTTAGAAAACAAATGTCCTTTTTTTTGTTATTTCTTGTTGACTAGAAAAAGTGCTTCCACTTGTGTGTGCTGCTTTTTGTGGCTTTCCCTCTAAAATGCCTGTTTCACCCCCAGCAGTACCTAGGGTGCTCAAGTGACTAAATGAGGGGGTTGTGGGTACCACAAGGAATGGGTAAAAGTAAGGTACTGCAAGCAGTGTGGGAGATTCAAGTCTGAATACGTTCAAAATTTGGACCTAAATTTCTCTGAGATTCAGTTTCTTCATCTGTAAAATAGACTAGATGTCTCACAGGGCACTGCAAATTGTTTAATAATTGATTTGAGACACTCAGAATAAAGATATTTCAAGAGTCAAGGCAGTCTGTACTTTCAAGAGTCCAATTTTCAGCAGAATGAGTTTTATGGTACTTATGATTCCAGTGAGGTTTGTGTAATTCTTGTTCTTTGGGTTTATGAAAAAAAAAAACCAGGTCCATATACACTAATGGTTTTTTACTACTATTTTTAAAACAATACATGGCTGAAAGAAGAATACAAGATCAAGATAGCAATTAGCACTGTGGAAAAATTAGTTGGGCCATAACAAATGCACATCAATTGTGAAGAATTTGGATCACAAATTTGCTATCCCTTAACAGGAGACCGCAAAATGAAGTCAGATGGTAAAAACCCATGAGAAAAGACCTTTTTGCATAGTGTGCAGTGACTGTGGAACTCACTGCACTGCAGAACATTCTTTAGGACAAGAATGCCGTAACATACTCAAAGGGTTTAGACAAGCACAAGAACAATTAAATAATGCAAAGTTATTAATATTTGTAATATTAATTTGAACATCAGCATTTAACTACTAAAGCTAAGACACTCTTTGGATTATATATTCAACTCTCTGCTCCAGAGGCAATAGCAGCCTTTATCCAAATAAGATTAGGGTGAGATTTAGTGTGGAGGGAGGAATAAGTCACATGTGTCTACTCTGCTGGTTTTAGGACTTCTCTGAAGTCTCCAGAATAGGTCAATAAGGGATCCAGGACACCAGATTTTATAATAAAAACGAAAATGAGTATGATTTAAAAATTACTAGACTTTTTTCATTTAAACAATACATAGACATGCTGAAACTTATGCTACTCACATAACATCCACCACTAGTTTGAACTTCACACTAGACAGACAAACTAAATAATGCCACTCAGGTAATTATTTTCATTATTTCAGTTCTTTAAAACTGTCTCAGATAATTACTTCCATCAGCTAAGCAATTCTGTTGCTACAGGTAGCAAGCAGCATCATTTTCAGACAAGAAATTGGCAGTATAGCTTCTACATTTAAGAAAGCAGACTTTAGATGGGGATGGGAGCTTACTTGAAACTACTCCTAAGCAGGAAATGTTACTGAGAAGAAAGAACTGGGAAAGGGAGGGTGAAAGTCCGACCCCCAGTAACACTTTTAAAAAAATCTGGTTGAAATAGAAAGGACTCAAAGATAATCTCCATTTAAAATAAGGTTGGTTTTTGGTGTTTGTTTTTGAAGGGGTGGGGTTGGGGTGGTTTGTTTTAAATTTATCCTTGTCTTTTGGACTACCTCCTGTCTTTTATATGAAAATCAATAACTTGCAGTGGAATTTATACTGCTCTCTAATATATTTATACATACTTTCCACTATTCACAACAATTATTTTCTGGTGCTTCCTCCTACATTATTGCTATTTGCTGTACCTTCATTAATAATGATTTTACCCAACGTGCAGGCTTTCAGTGAGAAATACTATTTTTCTTAGCATAAATAATGAGTTTTTCTTGTAAGCAAATGAAATTACTATAGCAGTTGTCTTACTTCTATTTTGGTTGAATTTAGATTGATTTCAAACAGTCTCTATAGGTATACTTAAAGACTGATTCTGCTTAGTTACTGTATTATTTCCATCAATAGCCTAATGTTCATTTTCTTCTAAAAATCAGATATTTGTAAGCTGCTTATATCCATGCCTTTCTTAATATTAGCATTAAATTCACCACCGTCTATATTTGCAGTTTGACTACCACTGTTGATGCATCTTATTTCACAAATTTTCTTTCAGAATTTATCTTTTTTTTTATGTGGGGAAAAATAATAACTGTAAAAAGAGCCATCTGAATACAAAAGTAGTGTTACCCTCATCTATAAAATCACTGTTATTGATTCTATTATTTGAGAAGCAAAGATAGCTCATTAAAAGTGAAAGAAAACTGACAGCATGACAGCTTTCATTTACATTTCGATAGTTCCAAATGCAGCTTTCAGCACAGAACTAACTTCATATTTCATTCCATTTTCATCTCTCAGTCTAATAAAATACATATTTTTCTGGACTTTATTGCTATTGCTTCAGGCTTGGGTATTTTAAATGTTGTTATTATGTTTTTAGAGCAAGTTGTAGCATAAAATATAAATAGAATTGTGGCAAAGAAGCAGTAAATTGACCCACATATACATTACTTTGGAAGCATATTTTAAAATGCATTATCAGAATTGTTTCTCTTGCTGCTGCAGTAAATACTATGTCATATCATTATGTTTTGGAGGCAGAACAAAATTAATAGCTTGTTAAACATTGGTTTTAAAGTAAATAGGCACTGAAATGAAACCTATCTTTGACAAACAAATGTCAAAGAAGACATTTGTTAACATTCAAGGCATTCCAAAACTATATTAATCATTGGTTTTATGATGATTGATAAATAAACTTTCTGAAATGTCACTCAAAGTTCATTAAGAACTGCATTTGTAAAATCCAACGGCAATGAAAAATATTACAGGAGAAAACCCTGTGAAACCCAATACCAATTACAAAAGTAAACTGGCAGGAGCAAGCCAATGGAAAAGCAAGCTCTATAAGGACGTTGCATTTGTTCCACAGATGTTGAGGAAATCAAAAGGCAACAATACTGAAAGATTGAAAAGCAATAACTATTTCTTTAAAAAATTCCAAAGAAAAAGAATTTCAATGTAACTGAAAGAAATATAAAACTGAGATTATGCTTTTAGACCCAATATTGAGTACAACCATCCATAGTATTAATGAAACTTTTTTAATGATGTATGCTAAGGCCAAATGGAGAAAAAAAAAAAAACATTCAGAATTCTCCCTTTGGATCTATTGACTGAACAAGATCTATCAGAGAATGTATCAAAGAGATAACATCTCAAAAATATCCTTCAGAACAGAATCATGGATTATAAAATCATAAAAGACCACTACAGTCACCTACACTGAGCTTCAGAACACCACAGAGCACAGAACTACCCTGAATTAATTTGAATTACAGCATGTCTTTTAAAAATAACTAATGGACCAAACACATTCCTGTTGCAGCTGAAATTAAGAAAGATTCCACCAGAGTGAATCTAGCTTAATTTCTTTCCAAATTTACTACTTTACATTTAAAATAAACAAGGAAGTTTACCCGCTCCCTTTAGGTATCCTAACAAGAGTTAAAATTGCAGCAACAATTACAGCCGAAGAGAATATCTCTGTTTTGCCAAAATACATTATAAAATAATCACAAATTTAACAATTCATTGCCAACTAACCTATGCAGACAAAACAAAGCATCCAAATTATTAATCTGTTATAGTTTCACTCATTCGTTAATGCTAGAGATAATTTTTTTTTTTAATCCTTCATCCTTATTTTATTACATAAACAAAGAGAAGTAAATAATTGAAAAAGCACTTAGGAAGAAACAGTGCTTCATTAAATAAAGAATAAGAAATGCAATTTTTTTTTCTGAAGCAGTTGAATTAAGTACCTGAAATACAGCATTAAAGCAATTCCATAGGACATCAGAGTACGTAACAGGTAGCGTTTGCAGCCAAGCCCTTAAAATAGGCTTCCAATCTAACACTGAAGAACTCATGAAGACCATCCCATTACGAGAAACTGTTGCAGGGGAAGCATTGTCAATGTTGTGAGGCTCAAAAATAATTTTGCAACTGGGGGACATCGGAATACGATCTCCATTGGCCAAAGTAAGGGTCTTATTATCGTCCAGAACAGAGTTCAGATTTTCAATCCATATTGCATCAACAGGTCCATCCAAAACTATCCAGATATGCTCACCCTAAAAAAAGGAGAGAGACACACACACATGCAGCTTTATGTACATTGACCAAAAATACACATTTACTTAATCTCAGAGAATGTCCTCTTGGATATAAATAATGAGTCATAATCTGGTGCTGATTAGAATCATAGAATCATAGAATAATTTGGGTTGGAAGGCACCTTGAAAGGTCATTTAGTCCAAACTCCCTGCAGTGAGCAGGGACATCTTCAACTCAATCTGGTTGCTCAGAGCCCCATCCAACCTGACCTTCAATGTTTCCAGGGATGGGGCATACACCACCTCTCTGGGCAACCTGTGTCAGAGTTTCACCAACCTCGGTGTAAAAAATTTATTCCTTATATCTAGTCGAAATCTGCTCTCTTTTAGTTTAAAACCATTACCCCTTGTCCTACGGGCCCTGCTAAAAAGTCTGTCCTCAACTTTCTTAGAAGCCCCCTTTAAGCACTGGCAGGCTGCAAGAAGGTCTCCCTGGAGCCTTCTTTTCTCCAGTCTGAAAAACCCCAACTCTCTCAGCCTGTCCTCATAGGAGATGTGTTCCATCCCTCAGATCATTTTGGTGGCCCTCCTCTGCACTTGCTCCAACAGGTCCATGTCTTTCCTGTGCTGAGGGCTCCAGAGCTGGACACAGGACTGCAGGTGGGGTCTCATAAGAGTGGAGTAGAGGGGCAGAATCCCCTCCCTCGACCTGCTGGCCATGCTACTTTGGATGCAGCCCAGGATACACTTGGCCTTCTGGGCTGTGAGCGCACATTGCCAAATCATGTCCAGCTTTTCATCCACCAATACCCCCAAGTCCTTCTCAGCAGGGCTGCTCTCAATCCCTTCATCCCCCAGCCTGTACCGATACCACCTGTATTGATACAATACAGCCTGTATTGATTGTACTAGCTCAGCATGAACTGCAATTTTTGTAATTTGCCCCTCACTACAAGAGGACATTGAGGTGCTGGAGCATCTCCAGAGAAGGGCAATGAAGCTGGTGAAGGGCCTAGAGCACAAGTTTTATGAGGAGCAGCTGTGGGAACTGGGGTTGTTTAGCCTGGAGAAAAAGAGACTGAGGGGAGACCTTATCGCTGTCTAAACTACCTGAAAGGAGGTAGTAGTGAGGTGGGTGTTCGCCTTTTCTCCCAAGTAACAAGTGATAGGATGAGAGGAAATGGCCTCAAGTTGCACCAGGGGAGGTTTAGATTGGATATTAGGAAAAATTTCTTCACTGAAAGGGTTGTCAAGCATTGGACCAGGGAAGTGGTTGAGTCACCATCCCTGGAGGTATTTAAAAGACATGTAGATGTGGTGCTTAGGGACATGGTTTAGTGATTGACATGGTAGTGTTTAGGTTAACACCTGGACTTGATCATCTTAAAGGTCTTTTCCAACCTAAATGATTCTATGATTCTATGTTATCTAGGTATTTCATGTATTTCATGTATTTCATTTCATATTTCAAGATTTGCCATTTTCCAAGTGAGAACTGAAAGAATCTTCAGAAGATTCGAGTGTAATTATGATTCCATGAAACATCATCTGCAGGTTTGATAAGAGAATTGGGAAATGCCTACACTGATTTCTTATCAAAGCCTCTTACATTCTGATATAATTAGTGAAACAGAGTGGCAATGACACAAAACCAGACAGAAGAAAATTAACTTTCCTGTCCTCACATCAAAACATGAACAGCCCTTGCTTCTGTGTTTGAATGGTAGGACTACCTCCTTACAGAACGAAGCAAAATCCTTAAAATCTTTTCCAATTTAATTCTGCAACCTCAAGCGCTTGGGAAGCATAGTGCTCTCTGGCATATACATGTAATTCTGACTCTTGCATACATTGAATTAGTCAGACACAAAGCAAAAGCAACACTGTATTTTACCATTTGATTTTATAATGAAAGATCTTTCACATAAATGACAGGTAATGAGACCTTATAGAAACAGTATTAAATGACCTTATTAACTATCATGATACAATATCCATTACCTTCTTTGCTTTTAATGTTTTTCTCCATAATGTAGAGAAAATACCATCTGTCCAGTCATTTGTAGCAACATCAAGGGTACCAAACATCTGGGATGCTGTGATTGCCTTTGGGTTCATTCTCATCTCTTTATGAGGAGCACCACAATCTGTCATTGCTTTCATCAAAATATTAATGCATTTTGTCTTTCCTGCACCAGTTGGACCTAGAGTCATCATACCTTAAAACAACATAAACATGGTTTAAAATGAAATGTCAACATGTCATGCTACCATTTAATGGTTCATTGCATCAACGATCCTTGTTTTATTTTTATCAAAAGCCAATACCAAAAAGATGTTTCTTACTCCACTTAATATTGACTGAAATGGAATTTAAAAATACTATTAAAAGGCCTCTATAAACGTCTGCTCTATTATGATAGGCAAGCCTATGTGGGTCTGTATCCTCCCTCAGGCAGTTCTTTTCCTTTTTCTAATTGGAAAACACAACTGCCGTTTGATGTTCGCATGCAATGACATTGACTGGTGATAAACAAAACCAGTAGTTTCTAAATGTATTTAATGAGAACTCAATGATATACAAAATCAAGTCTATCTTTCTGAAGCAACAGTAAGAAAAATATGTAGCTGCATCCATCCATCCATTTAAATACACTTTTCTTACATAAAAAACAGTTAACAGCAACCACACTTTTAATTTCATCAGTGTATACACATGTTGCCTAAGGAAAAGCAGCCATGTCTTCAATAATAAACTGAGCCTACAGTTGATCCTTTTTAGTTATATTTTATAAAGCACCTATTCAAGAGGCCAGAGTTTGTTCAAAAGCAGATTGGACATAAAGACTGAGACTTCCAAAGTCATCTAAGGGAGCTAGATAATTCCTATTACCCGTAAAGTCAACTGGATGACATAATTGTTATTTGGTTTTGAAAACCTCTTCAACAAAGGTATGGAACAAACACAGACCCAAGTTACAAACCTAATCCAGTACAACACAGACTGCTTGATGTTTTCTCTAAAACTAAAGGGAGCTGAATTTGAGCAATCAGACAATCACTCATGTCATATGTTACATATGGGGAGATGTAATCCAAGTCCTTCAATGTTAACCAGTCTTTCTGCTGGTTCCAACAGCATTTCAATCAAAACTGTTATGCAAAAGAGATTTCAGGATCCTTGCACTGAATCTGCATGCTTACGTGTGTGTGTGCATATGTGTGCACGAGCACTTTGTTTGCACATATTGTCTCTATATCAACCAAGAGAAGTTGTACATTTTACAGATTACTCCTCATTACTTGAAACCCCATTCCCATGGTGACCTCTCCATAAGGTCCATGAGTATGACAAATGGAATAAGGAAAGCAAAATCTTTTTCCCTCCATGCAATAACTTGTGTCATACAAAGGCCCTGGACATCCAAGTGTTAGGCCAATTGGAGCTGCATGACCCTTGCGAATAGCAGGGATGTATAGAGAAAAGAGGCATCTAAGCAGAATGCCCCAGTGGATGCTGAAGATTTTTGGGGAACAAGTAATCTATGATGTCTTACAGACTAAAGAGCTTCTCTTAATAAGAGGTGCATTTAATCATGACTGAAATCATTAGAACTTTCATGGTTCCTATATAGATATAGGTGTCATGATTTAATATGGAACACTGAACCCAGCAATCTGAATCTCAATTATTAACTCAGCACAGCATTAACCAGTTCTTTGGTCTAATCAGTAATCTGAGCTAAATGTTTGAGGCATTAAGGTGTCAGACTGTGCTAGGTGAATGAGTATTTCCTTTTATTTCTTCCATTAGTTTACGCTTACTATTCTCTTATGACATGAAAAGGGAGAAAAAAAGGATGACATCATAAATCTTTGCTCCTTTAGTGACATTTCCTTTATATTTTCTCCTTCATGTGCTAAATAATCCTTAGTTGTTAGAGTTTAGGGGGTGGGGTACATTTCGAAGTAGGGGTATTTTTCTTCTGTTCAGCTGTGAATTGTAAACCTGGTTTTACTACTGTCTTTGATACTCTTCCTAGGACAGGTAAACTTTACTCATTAGCCTTTTGTACAATGCAAAAATCTGTTTTCATAGAATCACAGAAGGGACCTCTGGAGGCCATATTGTCCAACCCCCCTGGTGCAGCAGGAGGTGGGCTTATTTATTCTCAGTGTAAATGGCCAGAATTGAACACAAAGAACAACTCTTGGAATTATATTGCTTGCTTGGTAAAATCTATCAAAGTAAAGTTTTGAGAGATTTTTTTTTTAATCTTCTCAGCATCATAATCTCACAGTAACATCAAACGTGAACTTCATGACTGAACTGTGTCTGAAGGCAACAATTGTTTTCAGAACACTGAACAAAATTGGCTGTTTCTGAATTCTAATGTATACTCCACATTTTAACTTGTCCCATAGAAATTTGAATCAGTGAAGGCCACACTCATATTTCCCATAAAAATGTAATACAACAAAGCTAAAATCTCAGTATGTGTGCACTGCACACCAAAAAAAGTCCTAACAGTTTCCTAGCAAACTATCCACATAGGCTTTAAAAATGACATCTGTTCAATTTTAAAATACACTTTTTGTGAAAATATCCGCATTCTGTAGCAGATAATATAAAAAACTATTTCTTTTATGCAGTCTCAAAACCTCATCTAGCATGCTAACCATGTCGGACTTGTTGAGTTTCATACAGCTGAATGAGTTTAAGTATCCATGGTGGATGATGAATAAGCCCTGCTATCTCTGCCTGTTTCTGGATGGCTGACTGTAGTTCAGGATACCCAGCTTTATCCAGAGTAATTCCAGGGAACAGGTCATTAATGAGACTCATAAATAAAGGTTCATCTTCATCCACCTGTCAAGGATAAAGTAGGGGGAAATACATTATTTATTCATTGAAATATTACAGCTGTAAACAATCTTCAAGAATGCCATTTAAAAGATGGCAGTGGAAAACCTCTTTGACAAAGCAAATATCATTATGAATCAGTTTTATTAAATTAATTTCATACAATGCAACCACAAGTAGTAACTTCTAAATTAAATACTTAAAGCTTATAAAATGTTAACATCTTGATACAGTTTTCTTCAATATATACACACATGTTTCTTCAGTTGTTATATCAGCAAGGTTTATTCAAATCATATTTTGCCTTGGATTTTTTATTATTTTTTTCCTTCTGTAAATCACTGAAGCATGCCTATAGGTTTGCATGCATGCTCCAATATGCTGAATAGATTAATATCAGAAACAGAGTAATTGGTTCCATCACAAAACTGGCTCCCAAGGTAAATACACAGAGTCTGGATGTGCTATAACCTTTCAATTACAGCAATAAAAAGAAAGACGAATACTTTAAATAATAATATCAAAAGAGATTAGACTATACAAGTAGGCATTAGCTGCTTCCAATTACCTCACTCATTGCAATTCTTACGATGTTCTGAAAAGGCAACACTCCCAAGAAATGTATAAATTGAAACTCTGGATTAAGAAGGTTCTTTAATGACATTATTAAAAGTTAGTATAATGTATTTTTCCTTTCTCTCCTTAGATAGAGCAGAAAGTGTTAAAAACAAGAGAGAATTAGAGGACCAGGTTAGGTCCCCTAGGATCTGACGGTATTTCCAACGATTTTTTCAGATAAAGATTCTGATGTGTTTTCCTCTCTTTAAAATAGTGCACACACCGTAACTGTATTCTGATTCTCCACTCACTGACAGACCATATTAAAAACTGCAAAATAAAGTATCCAACTGCTGAAGAAAAAGAGTTTTTCAAAGTGTATAATAAATACACTTAAAAATGCAAACAAAGTACTCTCTTAGGGAAAGTCACCAGTGTTACAGTACCAGTTTGGAGAGGTTCATGTCCCGCAGAACTCTCATCACTATGGTTTTCTCAGGCTCTTTGGGATTAGATCTTTTTACTGCTCCAAGTGTTCTTAAAACAGACAGAATATTTCTAAGCCCAAAGTCGTAGTGAACCTTGAAATAATGCATAAACACAATTGGTACCACAAACATTAAACACTTTAAAATCAATAGGGGACTGAAAACTAATCAAATAAATAAATATGCTATTGAACTATTAAATATGATTGATTTCACAGCTCTTCATTTTTTCAACTAGATTTCCAGTTCTGTTGCTATCATATCCTGAAGATATTTTCCAGTGTTGTATGTCTATACCTGACAAGTGTCCCTTTGGGGGGCAGACTACCACTTTTACAAGTTATCTGTAACAGAGCTGCATCTTCTATCATTTTCCTAAATTCGTAATTTGCCAGATGCACAAACAGCGAACCACATGTGTTCAGACTACCCTCTGTTTTCTGTTCACACAAGGACTGTTGTTACCTTAATATATGGTATTGGGATTCATGATCAAAAGGGCCAATCTCTTGCTGATATAAAGAAAAATATTGAAATTATTCAGATACAATTTGTTATACGTAAGCCTATCCTATCCTGTACTTAATGACTTTCTGCTCTGTGGATGGTTTCATAACAACTTGGTTCAGAACAGAATGATTTACCTCCAACAGCCATGTGCGTCTTAGAGGTGTATCTAACTAGCTTTGGACTTAGGCAGGTAAGGGATGGAATATCTTCCCTTTCACTATGGCTACAGCTACATATTTGCACAGCCATACAGATATATTACATTAATTCTATCACTTCTACCTGAACATACAATTATGTCTTAGTTAACACAGGTTTGAATATATATGCAAAAGTTCTGTAATATATTTCCTCTTTGACCATTGATGCAAATCCTAGAAGGAAAGCTATCAAGGTAAAGGTTTTAAATTATAAAGTCTCCACTACTGCTGGCTGCTTAGAAAACTAAGTGGTAAAGACAGACATGGAAGGAGATAATAAAGATAGTCTTATATTTGGAGAATATCTGCTCCCTCTGATTGATCAGAAATGTTTTTGAGACCAAATGCATAGACTCTTTTTTATACCATATGTTGTGCATTGACCTTGGCCAGCTTGCAGACACCCAACCAGCCACTCTCTCACTCCCTCTGCTCAACAGGACAGAGGCAGAAAAGATGAAAAGAAAGATCATGGATCAATATAAAGACAGACAGATCACTTACCAATTATCATATGAGGCAAAACAGACTCGATTAGGGTAAAATTAATTTAATTTATGGCCAACTATGTACCAATATTTGGATAGTGAGAAACAAAGAGAAAACAAAAACAACACTTTCCCCCCAGCCCCCACCCCTATTTCCCAGGCTGACAAACTGGAACAATACATTGAGTACAACCCAGAATTTTCAGCAAGAAATAACTTGTTGATTAGGTTTGCAGAGGATATCAAGCTGGTGCAATAGAACACAACTTGAGTTCAAAATTACCAAGAGAAATTTAATAAATGATCTATGTATGATGCAATTAAATAAAGACAAATGCAAAATACTAAACAAATGGAAATAACCAACTGCACAAATAAAGAAAAGTAACAACTCTGCTTCATTCAGTTGAGAAACAAGTCAGGTGCAGAAAGCTTTGCAGAAAAATATCTGACATTGGACTGAAGCCACAAGTTCCACAATTACAACTTCATGTGAAGTTTGGAAGGCAGATTATATGTTGATGATGAAGTCTGATATCATTTAGTAAATTATATATCCTAGTGAAAAATCCAGAATCATGACAAGGGCTGATATATTTCTTTTTCTCTGTGCTAGATGACCATCATTGACATACTGGAATAAGTCCAGCAAAGGGTGACCAAGTGAGAAGAAAAGAGACAATGGTCAAAATTTGCAACAGAGGAAATTGCAATGGTTTGCATAAGGAAAAGAGTCTTTACAATGAGAGTGGTCAAATACAGAAAAGGTGCTCAGAGAGACTGAATATCTCCATCCTTGGAGACAGTCAAAACTCAACAAGTGCCTTAGCAACTAGTCCTAAATTGACCCGCGTTGAGCTGGCATCTTGGACAAGGTGACCTCTGGAGGCCCCTTCCAATTTACACAAGTCTATAAAAGTGACGACTTTGTTAAATTTGAAGAAATACTGTCATACCTATTAGAAAATTTAAAATAAGCTAAAATGACTTTTAAAGACAGGTTTTCTGGTGCATTCCAACTGACCTACATGACGGTTGGTTCAAAGTGACCATTATTTATTTTCCTTAATCAGTCTGCTAGTTTTACAACTGCTTTGCCTTTCAGGAATGGCATAGAACACTTAGAATTTACTGGCAAATGTAGATTATGAGCTATTTCTTTGATACATTTTTAAACAGCAGGCAAAAGATTGCACTTGGGCAAAATGGACAATGGCAAAAAAGAGCTGAGGGTCTTGTAAAGAAGAATGAAAAATCTGCAAATAAAAAACTCAACACTAGAAGCATAGTTTGCTATTGTGGGGAAAAAAAAAGGGGGGTATCAGTGGTTTTCTCCATATGAAAGCACCTTAAACAGATGATCCTCACAGAGGGGTTGTGGTCTCATTTGCTTTCAAGCTTTGTTAAGTTTTCCCTTTCAGTTTCTATGGTTTTCCCTAATCTGGGTGAGGCTCTATGGAAGGAGGCAGTAGGGAACTTTGGCTAGAAGTCCTGCAACAATGGCAAACAATTCAGCTTTGGGGGCTATGTGAGAATAACTGTTTCACAGGCTTGTGGACACTTTGAAATTCCTACATTTGCTAAGGACTACTCTTTTACTTTTGTATGTTTTTCTTTAATGAAGGAGATGGTAGTCACTCAGGGTGCCTTTGACTATTTGTGAGTCAGAGTTCCTCTTTCTACAGTCTGCATTTGTGTGTGTAAAACGTCTGGAGGACTTCACATATTCCTTCTGGCAAACTCCTTTTAGATTTTGTGGGAGGTAAGTTCAGCTGGTGAATGCTTCTTTGTTGTTATTATCTTCTGTTGATATATATTGCATTTGGTGAAAACAGGCAATGTTCTGCCATTTCCTATTGCGTTGATTTTTATGTGACCCTGTTCCTTCTAGTCAACTGCCCAGACACCCAGCAATACTTATTTCAAAGTTAAAATTTACCATTAAAAATTTGAATAAGTAAGTTACACTAGGAACACAGATTAATATGCCCTTAAGAAAGCCTGTCTGTACTTTATAGTTCTAGTCTTCTGGCTAGACAGAAGTATTTTTGTCCCACTGTATTCTGTCCTGAAGAAATTATAAATATACATGGAAGACTGTTTCCCACAGACATCATGGCTTGTATAGTACAAACAATGGAATTTAAGTTATAAGTGAGATATAAAATTCAAATATATAATTGTGATGTAGCTGGGTGTGAGTGCTGTGCCCATGTGCACACCCAGTGCACTTGGTCATTAATCTCCATTAATTAATAGCAAGGAATTCCCTTGCTAGCATCAGCAGAGATGAGACAAAGACTGACCTGAGACAAGGTGATTGAGCTACATGCCTTCAAAACAAAGCATTTGACTAATCGTTACAGGAGTTCACCACATAAGAATTTCAGACAGTTCAACAGAGTTCTCCAGGCAGTTCCTGTGATCGCTAGGCCAACTGATAGGCACTACTTATATGCTTCAACATGTTGATTAAAATGCTGAGTGGAGAATCTTGCTGTCTCAGAGACTCCAGGGTAGTTTCTGCTGCAGAAATTACCAAACCACATACAGAAACTCTTTGTGCAGATGCAGCAATAGTCATGTAGAAAACATCGTACACCATTAAGATAGTTAAAACAAGTTTTGTGTATAGTTAAGTTTTGTTTGGGGATGTGTATTATGTACTCTGGTCAATAATGAAACAGTTCCAACACCCATGACAACACAAACAAGCGAAGTACTTTTGCAGAGATAGATGGCCGCATTTTTGATGCCTGCTTAAATATCTCTTCCACAGTGAAGGAAAGAATCGCGTCCAGAACAAAGATGACCACACAAACTGAAGCAATGAGAAAATTTAATCCTACTGAGGCCAAGCCTGAGGAAAAAATAGAGAGATCCGTATTCAATACTCTGGAGACAAGCTATGTTGCTAAAACTGTCCGTACACAAATTTTCCTAAATGATGTGCACAAATTCCACATCAGAGAAAACTCTTGGAAAGTGATCCTCTGACAAATGCAGCCTATAAGCCTAGTAACTATAAAACACAGGCACATGACAGCAACAAATGGACTAATGCTAGTGATGCTAGATCAATACAGGGTGATTCAGAATGCCTAAAAACTAACTTGAAGGCTAACGGAGGCACCCCGGGCAATAGTACAGGGAAGCTAGTAGCCAATATGACCCTTCAGAAGCCAGTCTACAACATAAAGCTGGCAAGCAAAACTCTCCCAGAACAGGAAAGCTGAGGAAAATTAAAATTGGAATCAACTTTGGTCATATATATTGAAAGTGAAATTACAGAGGTATGGAGAAAGGAAGAGAAAATCCAAACCTGGACTTTTTTGTTTTAACTCTGAAATAATGAGGGAAATATGATGCACCATGATCTTATTCTGCTGTAGTCCAAGATTTCTGCATGGAAGTCAACATAGTCACTAATAAATATGTGGTATAGAACTGAAATAATATAATGGAGAATGTAGTCAATATGCCCAGGTTCATTAGGTTCCAACCAGAGCAGGTTTCTCATTTGAGCTGCAACTTATCTACCATTCATATGATCTCTTTTTGAGACCCTCTGGTGTGTCATCACAGGTCATTCAAAAGGCAACAAATAGTTCTGTTCTTAAAAGCAGCTTTATCCTTTGTTTGTACTTAAATATCCCATATCAAACAGAATAGCACTTCTCTGGTAGCACTCAACAAAACAGTGCCTTCTAGGCACTCTTCAGTTTTTTAGAATTACACAGAATCACAGAATTGTTAAGATTGGAAAAGACCTTTAAGATCAAGTCCAACCATCAACCCTACACCATCATGCCCCCTAAACCATGTCCTGAAGTGCCATGTCTACACTTTTTTAAATACTTCCAGTGATGGTAACTCTACTGCTTCCCTG